AAGCGGCCCCGCAGCTAGAGCCGAGCCTTCAGGACCCAGGGCTGTTTCCGCTCTGTTGTGCAGAGCTGAGTAAGGAATTATCTTGGTTAGAAGCCAGATGAGATCTAAGACGCACACATCAGGCTTGGATTTTCTTCTTCCTTCGCTCAGAAGCCAGGAGGAACCAGGAGGGGTCTGAGCCAAGCCAGAGCAGAGGGCCCGGGGCCGCGCTCACAGAGGGCCTGTGGGGCGGATGTGTCAGCAGAAAGCCGGGTCAAGAGCCCAGCCCCGGGGCCGCAGGCCGACTGTGCACAGGCCCCCGGCTGGCCCTGCGCCCTTGTTCTTGCCACGATAGGCTTCAGGGTCCCTGTCGGACAGATGGTGGCACCAGCAGGTGCTAGAGACAGTCCTGGGTGCTCTGGGCCAGGGCAGAGGGAAATTGTGGCTTTTGTGTGATCATGAGTTTGACCCTAATCCTTGCTCCGGACACCTGGCCTCTGTGTATCGCAGCTGCCCAGTGGGGCGCGTCGGCCTCTCACCCCCGAGGCCACATCCGGTCCCCCACCCACAGGGCAGACCCCTGCTTCCATCGGGATCCCGTCAGAACAGCTCAAATCAGCCCAGGCCTTCTGAACAGAGGCGTTTCAGTGCAGGACGTGGTAACCCCGGCGATGTGAGAGCCGAGGCCCAGCAGAGGACAGCGAGGCGGGCCAGAAAGTATCGATGGCAGGAAGTCCCTGCCGTCTGAGGCTGGAGGGGTGGCCGGGAGAGATGGGTCCACCGAGTCCGGCAGCCAGGCCTCCGGGCAGGAGCTGAAGCCACGCTGGGCTGTGGGGAAGCACCCGGACCAGTGGAGGGAGGGATGGGGGAGATCCCCCGGTAAACACGGGAGGGGGAACCACCCCCTGGCTTGTCCCCTCCTCTCCTCCCTCCCAGGGAGCAAGGGAGTCTGGGAAATGTAGTTTCCCACGATGCAGGAACTGGATTTGAGAGAAGCAGGAAGTTGACAGGCATGGCCTCCTTTTCCTCTTCCTAAGCCGAGAATTTTGACTCCTCGGGTGAATGACAGTGCAAAGGGCGTCTCTCACCAGGAAGCCCCGAGACGAGGGTCAGCCGCGTTAGAGGGGCCCTGGGACCACGGCACACCTGGGGCTCCAGAACATTCCGAAACATTCCAGGGAACGCCGCTGCCACCAGGGGTTTCGACTGCTTGTTTTCTCTCTTCTTTTTCTTTTTCCTGGCAAACGCCTCGGCTTTTTTTATTATTAACCTGGGATTTTTCTTTCATGTGCTTTATGCGTCTTTGGAAGATGAATTTCAACCAAATCTGTAGGTTCTGAAGGAAATCCATTCTAATCCATTCTTCCGCCTCTTTGAACAAAGGACATCTATTCTTTCCGTCCAACGGAGAGCACACCGTGGGAGCTGAGAGCGCCCCGCGTGCCCTGCCGCCTTGGCAATCTGGGGGCCGGAGACGGGGGACTAAGCTTCAGTTCCGGGGGTGACGGCCCCCTTGCCGCCCCTTCTTTGGCTGCGTTTGCTTCCCTTCTCACGTCCCCACTGTCGCTCCCCATCTCTCAGGAATCGGCACGTCCCCGTCGTCAGCGCCCACGGGAGACCCAAACTGGACGCCGCCTCCCTGCACCGGGAGCCTCCGGCGGCTGCTCCCAACGTGCCTGACCGAGGGGCCCTTGCCCCGCAGCCCACCGTGAGGGACGAGGGTCCCCGAGAGCACCCTTTGGGAAGCACTGTCGTAACTCCCGGGCAGGGTGCCCCATCCGCGGAGCCGTCGAGCAGGGAGACGTCGAGGAGGCGATGCATGGCCGGGGTGAGAGGCGGGGGACACTGGCTAGGGAGACGCCCGGCCACCTCGGGTGCCTGGGGCAAGGGGTCCTCGGGGACAGCCCGTCAGACCCCGTCAGCCGGGAAGGAGGTGACACGGGCTTAAACCGGTTCGCCTGCTGTCACGGGCCTGCTCTGCATCACCGTTCGCACACTTCAGGTGCGGCGTGTGGGCTAAGCTCCTCCCCAGAGGAGTCTCACTTCACACAAAAAGGAGACACGCCGTGGCCTGTGGGGGACCAGGAGGCGGCCCCCCCTCCTCGGGCCGTGAGGCAGGGGCAGGGGCAGCGGGTCGGCGAGGGTGTCGGGCAGTTCAGCGGCAGAGAAGAGCGGTGACGGCCGGGGGGTTTTTTCCCAGCAGCTTGGCCTGAGCAAGACTGGTTCTCAGGTCTGGGAGGCGTTCAAGGGCCGCAATGCCTGCAGCGCCACAAACAGGCCCTTTTAGAGTTGGGAGAGCTAAGGAGGGTGTCCACCTTTCAGGGAACAGCCTGTGCCAGTCAGCGGGCCCTCGGGGACCCAGCACTGGGGGGATTCAGGACCCTCAGCCGCCCCCCCTCCCCCACTCTTCGGGTGCCCGGGGGAGCGAGTTTGACCCTTTGTGGGCCTCAGTTTCCGAATCTGTGTGCAGAGGGGATGGGACGGCGCGTGGGCCCTGGGGTGCGAGCCCCGTGCGCGGTGCCTCCTGTCAGGGTGACCTTAGGCAGGGGGCGTCACGTCCCGGGCAAACAGGAAGAGCCGCTTCCACCCCGTGAGCCGCGTTAAACCACGGGTGAGACGTAGGTTGGTGCTCGGCCCGTGGCTGATCGTGAGTCTGTGCTCCGGTCCACGTTCTGACACAGGACGAACGTTCCCGCGCAAGACGCCGCATGAGAGAAGGAACTCGGCAAGACGGCAGAACCGCATCTTCTCTGTTAAGGTTCTTCCACGCCGGGCACTTGTCTCCTTGAAAGAAATACAAGGCCAGCCGTCACAGGAGAGATGCTCGGTCTCACTGAGCGTCAGGCACAAATGGAACCGCAGGGAGGACCGCTGCGCCCTGACTGGGGCGGCCTGGACAAGGGAGGCCGGGCCAAGCATCCCTGGGGACAGCGTGCCCAGACGCCCGGCCCAGTCACACACGGCTCTGTGATTCCGCTTACGCAAGGGGCGTGGAGCCATCAGGTCCTGGAAACAGGAGGGTGGATGCAGGGCACCGGGCAGGGTGGGGGCTGCGTGGGGACACAGGCTGCTGGGGGCACAGAGCTCCCCTTGGGACCGTGGCAGAGGCCTGGCGCTGGGCGGAGGTCCAGGGAGCATGGCAGTGTGAGTAAGTGGGGCAAATAGCAAATAGGACTTTAACATAATAAAAAGGTTTTTAAAGAAATGTAAAACAATGGCCGCGATGTTTAGGTGTCGGGGAGGGGTGTTGCCAGGTGTGTGAGGCCCAGGGTGCCCGAGGTCCCGGAGCTGAGGGCGAAAGCCAGCCCCCTCCCCCGCCCCGCCCCCCATGCTTTGTGCAGAAGCTGCGGAAGAGCCCTGGGCCTGCCCTTTGCTGCTGGTCCCACGGGGGGCAGGGGCGGCGGGGGGGCGGGGGGGGTTGGGGGGAGATTCTCCGCAGGAGGTCAGGCAGACCCTCTCCGTGGAAGGGGGCACATCTGCGGAGACTTTGGTGCCCGCTGGAGGCTCACCCAGGGGTCCCCCGCCCCAGACACACAGGAGAGGGATCCCTTTGATCTGTCCATCTGTCCATCAGACCCCGGGTGACCTGTGTCCTTTTCCGTTCACCTAACCCCTGCTGTTCTGGCCAAGGCCATCCCACCTCCTAGCAAAGGGCATGTGACATTTTAGCCACCAACTCTGGGCACTTTCAAACCTGTTTCCTTGAAGAGGAAAAATAAAATCGGTGCCATCTTGCAGTGGCCCCCTGACCTCAGGCAGCAGGGAGGGGAGGGGAAGAAAATATCCCTCAGTGTCAGGACTTGGGGGGAGACAGGGGTGGGGCCTCCCGGGGCGCCAGCCGGTGTTTGAGCGAGTCCCCCCGGGGCCTGCGTCCCTGCGACTCGTGAGGGCGCACGCGCGCCCAGCCCCTGCCGCCCTATTTGCAAGGGCTGGAGGAGTGTGGGACCAGGCCTGAGAGCAGGAGGGGCCGGAGACGTGGACTCGAAGCTTTGCTGGCCGTCACCGCATCACTGCCCTGTGCCTCCTCCAGCGCTCGCCCGCCGGGGCCTCCAGTCCCGAGGGCGAGGGACAGCCGGGCGGCGGCAGGGCCCTGGGCAAGCACCTCACAAGAGCCCCTCACGTTTCCTTATTTTTCCCCACAGTGTCGCTGTGAATGAGCAGCTCTCAGTCCTGGGCCCCGGGAACACGCCTTCGCTGCCCCTGTCACAGCGAACCCTGGTGTGGGAAGAGCTTCGCATGCGAGACGCGCGGCAGGCTCCACGGTGGCGCCCGTGGAGAAAGCAGCAGGCTCCGGCCGCAGCAACAGCTCAGGACCGAGGGCGCCTTCGGTAAAGACAATCGCGAGACGACATTTCGAGGTAGTTAAATTTCCTGCTACATTTTAATGACCAACAGAGAGGATATAAAAATGTCATTTATAGAGAAACGCCAACATTTCACCCTCCTAGTTATTTGAATAGGTCCACTGGAACCTGCAATGTGATTTTTTTTTTTAAAGTTTTCTCGCCAAATTCTGTCATCCGTTTTTTGTGCTGCGAGTCCATGTAGGTCCTGCTTATTGCACTCAAGATGCACTTGAACCGAAGGTGCACGTGAAGAAGACTCAGCTCCTTCCCCTTCTGACAGCAAAGCAGGAAAGCTCGGCAAACTCCATCCTGGGAATTTGCCCATTCTGGTTACACTGACCGGTTTTTAACCGAAGGTACTATTTTTCAGGGCTGCACGTGGCGCTGGCAAGGACACGGGAGGGACCCGCGGGGTTTCGGGAGGCGAGGGCAGTTTGGTGGCTTTGTCTGCGTCTGTTCGCCACGCAGAACCAGCCTCGAGCCCTCCAGCGAGGTCCGGGGGCGCGGGCCAGGCGAGGGAGGCAGGGGAAGCCGCCTCTGCCCAGCTCAGCCCGGGCGCCAGGGGTGGGGGTCGGGGACCAGGCCGCCTGTGGGGGGTGACAGCCCTCCTCCTACAGGCTCCTCCTCCTCCTCCTTCTCCTCCAAAACCAGCTGATGCGGCCCCCACAGGGGCCTTCACAGTCGGACTTTGTTTTCTGCTGCTAGCAACGTCGCAAACGCAGAATCTGGGTTCTCAGCAAGGACTTCGGGCCTGTCAAACTCGACCACCTGCGGGTCCGAGGGGGAGAGCTGCCGCTGCCTGCAAATAGCCGCGCCGCCCCTCGCCCCGCCCCGGGCCAAGACCATCGAAGGTGGTGACGCCAGCAGCTCCCTGTACCTTCCCGCCGTCCATGACCAGGACGAGGTCGCAGTTGAGGACGGTGTTGAGGCGGTGGGCGATGGTCAGCACCGTGCAGCCCGCGAAGGCGTCCTTGACGGTGCACTGGACGAGGCTGTCGGTCTTGGAGTCCATGGAGGCCGTGGCCTCGTCGAGGAGGATGATCTGGCGAGGAAGAAACGTTGGAAACGTCACACTGGGCCAAAGATGCTCCTGAAAGGAAAGGGATAGTCTCGGCTCTCTCTATTTTCTCTCTCTCTTTTTAAGGAGAAGGGCTGAAAAGTAATGAGCCAGACATCCATCTCAAAACGTTAGAAAAACCATGGCAAAATAAGCGTCGCCCCACACCGCCTGCGCCTCCTCAGAGGGACTGGCCGGGGAATGCCTGGCTGTACCGCCGCTACTCCTGTTTCAAAGAAAGCGGTTGGCGCTAACCCTGCAGACTCAGGGGAAGACGCGCCCAGGGTTAGCTACCTACTGCGCGGCAGCGTGCGGCGTGGTAATGCCGCTTACGCCCGCTCTGTGCTGCCGCCGTGACACCTTCCCACAACGCGGAGGTTTAACATGACACGAATGGATGGCCTCCCAGTTCAGGGGGCCAGGAGCCCCCCAGTCAAGGGGAGCTCCGGGCTGTGCTCCTTCCGCGCCTCGTCCGGCTCCTAGACGCCGCCCGCCCCCTCGGCAGCCCTCTGACCTCCACCCCCACGGTCAAGTCTCCTTTCCCTTCTGGCCCTCCGGCCTGTCTCTTCTAAACACCTGGGCCCACCCAGCCGCTCCAGCACAACCTCCGCATCTCAAAACCCTTGACCGAACCGCGTCCGCAAAGCCCTAGCCCAGGAAGGGCAGCACAGCCAGGGCTTCCGGGCCGTTGCTCCGCGCGCTGCAGTGCCCGCCTGCCGGTCAGAGGGCCTGAGCCCCGCGCTCCGCTTGCCTCACTTTGGCTGAATTGCTTAACTTCCCCAAGGCGCCATTTGTCTCCTTGTGGGTGAAGGGGGTTACACCTCGTTGAGAGCATGAAACGCAACCACAACACAGAAGGCCATTCAGCACTAAGCGGGGGCCGGCCCCTCTCGGCCGTCAGCTCATCTGCAGGACACACACGAGGGGCAGCCCTTCGGTTGGGGTCCAGGGAGCGGGCTTCCCGCAGCCCCAGCAGCCCCTCCCCAGGAGCTGGTACGTAAGGATGTCCAAGTTGCTCAGAATGGTGGGCACACCTTTGACCATTCTCGAGTGTCAAATCCTGGCATTCTTGAGTGGCCCGGGGACTCTTCCTCAGGCCTCAGAACCGTTCAGGGACAAAGCGGAGACGTCGAGAGGGAGGTTTCTCAGACAGAGACCCCTCAGGAGGACAGAGAATACCCAACCAAGAACCCCCAGGGAGAGCCCTGGGCGAGGTAGGCGGTCTGGCTGGAAATGGCTTGCGATGATTCAATTTTCACCTCTCACAACTTTGTCTTAAGAAAAAGTGATTGGTTTTTAAGCGGCTCAATTGCTCTCTCTTTGCTGGAAGACAAAAGCTTGTCTCTACTCTCCCCCCCCCCCCCCCCCTGCATTGAGCGGTGCTGCGGGGAAATCGACCGATGCGTTTTGCATGCTGTTTCCTTACTTTTGAATTACGGAGGAGTGCTCGGGCCATACAAAGCAGCTGCCGTTCCCCTACCGAGAAGTTTTCTCCGTTTTCTGTGACTTCTGCCTCTAATTTCTCCGGGAATTTCATTATCTATAAAACAGAGAACGCCGCGTTTATCCCGCTGATCTGTAAACCGGCCCTGCGTCATCTGCGTGGACCGGCCTCTCCTCTCGCCTTCATCAACTGCTTGATTTTACTGAGGGAAAGGAAGTGCAAAACAACAATCACTCCAGCGCTGCGACAGGCACCAGGGAAAGACCGGGGAGGAGGCAGACGTTAATAATGCAAAACCGCAGCGTTTGCGTTCACCCCATCGACACCGCGCCTAAAGAAGACAAACGACGTGCAGCGGGGTCTGGAGGAGCACAAGAACCCGTGGCTTCCAGGGCCCCGTCCCACGGACAGAGGAGAGGCGGGGTGGGGCGGCTTCTGGGTCATCAAGAGAGGTAAGACGGGGTCTGGTTATCCCGCAGGACAAGTCGAAGCGGCTCAGGGACGCGCTCAGCTTGGACCCGAGTCCGGGGGGAAAGGATGCCCTGTGGGGCCCAGCCGCCTGCATAGCACAGGGGCCCTCAGACCAGCCCGCCTGCCGGTGCTGGGGCGCGCCGCGCCCCTCGCCTCCCTGGGGCTTAGGGTTCCCAGAGGCAACCGAGGCTCCTGGCAGAGCAGTGGGGCACTTGCTGGCCCTCCGTCATGTGGACGTGGGTTCGCGTCTCCACCCCGCCCTTCACTATACCCGCACCTGCCACTCCCGAGTATAAATTTCTGTGTCTCGAACGAAGGAGGCAGGTGCAGAACCTCAGAGGGTCAGGACCAGGTGGGGTGATAGGTATGGAGGTCCTGGCTGAGTCGCTGCGGAGACCTAGTAAACCCGATCTATTGCTTTTTAAAAACCATAACAAGGAAGCAAGGATTGTGTCTTCTGACGTGTCTGGGGCCAACAGGAAAACCCGGCCCGGTGCTGGCCCCGTGCCTGTCGAACGCGGGCCTGGGCCAGGCGCCTGGGCTCGGCTGCCAAACAGACCCATCCGGACAGCGGCCCGGGACCTACTGTGTCTTTCATGAACGTTCTTTCCAGAACCTGCCAGAGCATCTCGTCCGTGTGCCTCTCAAAGGGATCCAGGTTGTACCTGCAACGAAGGGAAGCAGGGGGAGCTGGAAGGCTGCGGGCGAGGGGGCGGGGGGAGCAGGCCGTGGCCAGGGCCCAGCGGCTCCCCTGGGCGGTGCTTCCTCAGCCCAGGACAGCGACCTGTGAATTACCAACCTCCGGCCCAGGGACCAAGGACCGCAACCCCGTGGTGGCGCGGAGGCCGCCCAGGGGGCCGTGGGAAGGGCTGCCCAGACGCAGCACTGAGCCAGGAGCTCAGGGGGACTCGCTGGTCCTCCCAGTGGCCACAGGCGGCTGAATGGCTTCAACCTTCTGCACATTCGTGGCAGAGAGGAGGGGACAGGGAGAACGCGACAGGCCATCGCATTCACTCTGCCTTCAGAGGCCGCGTCTGCAGCTCCCGGTGCTCCCGAGGGCAAGTGGCTCGTTCGTGGGATGTGAGTGTGCACACGGAATGTTTTCGTACAACACTAAACGCGGCCCCCGCCTCACGACCCTCTGGGAAGAGGCTCAGCCGTTCCCTGGGCCAAGTGAGAAACCAGCTTCCGCCTGGAGCCTGGGCGTGGGGTCCCCGGCCCTGTGGAAGCGGCAACCCCACTGCCCTTGTAGCCGAACGCCCGCTCCGACGCGCCCCTCGGCAGACAGGCGCCTACGCCGGGTTGTACGGCACAGTCTCAGAAGCGGGGGTGCTCCTGAGAATGGCTGTCGCTAAACCTGGCAGGATGCCGAGACGCAGGCGTCACCCAGGGCCAGCCCAGACATCTGTCCGCTGACGTACAAGCACCGTGCGTCCTAGCCATGGAGTCTCTAAGCCACGCGTGGCGTTCGGGGCCCTAGTTCTCGGCGGCCCCCGCGGTCTTGCTGGGGGACAGGTAGCAGCCCCTCGGCCGCCGCGTCCCCCGGGAGAGCAGCCCTGGCCGGCCACGCCGTGGGCGCTTCTCAAAGTCCCCGGTCGGTCTGATGTCACTATCCAAAAACAGGAATGCCGGCGATCGCAAGCAGCTACCTTACTGTACCTACAAACAGGACAGGGTCCTGGGGGATCACAGTCAGCCTGGTCCGGAGGTCCTCCAAGCCGACCGTGGAGATGTCCACCTGGTCGATGAGGATGGCGCCGCCGGCAGGCTCCACCAGACGGAACAAGGCCACTCCCAGAGACGACTTTCCTGGGGACAGCGAAAGGGGCATGAGTCTAACATCATATCCAAGCACCGGGAGGTCACCAAGAGATTCCTGACGCGGCGAAAGCGGCTCCAGCTCTGCGAGGATGGCAGAGACCCCGCCCCGAGCCGGACATCAGCCGCCCTCATGGGGTCACCGCGCCGCTCCCCGCGGTGGCTGCTCACACACGGCGCCTTCTCTGGGTCTCGTTTCACCAGAACGGTTCTCATTTAACCAGAACTGTTCCCAACTCCACCACCCGTTCAACTTGAAATTCTAATTCACAGTAAAAAGGTTTGAGGGAAAAACAGCCGGCCGGCCGCACACACACGTGCACCCTGTCCCCCACCCCCACAGGCGGATCCAGCGGACACCCCAAGAAAACAACCCGGGAGAAACACCGTCAGGGCGCATCCTCACCGGAACCGGTCCTTCCGACAATCCCGACTGTCTGCCCGCTCCGGATGTTCAGGTTCAGCCCGTCGAGGACAAGGGGGGCGCTGTCTCTGTATCGCATCCGATAGTCTCTGAATGTTATCTCCCCCTGGCTGGGCCAGTCCTGGGGGCAGGTCCCCACCTGGAGGGGCTGCGCGCTCTCCGGGACACAGGTCTGAAAAGCGAATGACCGGAGAGGGGGGCGTGCTCGTTGGCTTTTCTGTTTGTTTCGTGTTCTCACCCCTGCAGGTCTAGGGCGAGAGCGTTTGCAGAGGCCTGGACCAGGTAGGAGCCCGCATGCGGGAGACTCACCCTCCGGCGGAAAGGCCTGATGTTGAAGAAGAAAAGACCTCGGATATGAAGACAAGAAACAGAGGGTTGCAACAGCCTATAGACCGTGTGTCCCAAGGGGTAAGAGGAGTAAAAGTAGCGCAAGGGTGGAGGTGGGCACCGTGCGGATGGGACGTCCGAGCAGAGACACGAGGCGAGTTGAGTCCAGAGTCCCCTGAGCTGAGTGGGTGGCTCGTGCAAAGGCCCTGGGGCCAGAACAAACGTGGAGGAATGGAAAGAAACATCAGGCAAGGGTGACTACAAGGGACAACTCCCAGGGGGCCTCGCGGCCTGGGCAAACCTCAGCTGTGCAACCTCATGGCCTGGGAGCTGTGTGGCACATGGAGACCAAGCCTTGAGGGTCGCAGGATTCGTCCAGACACAGTGGCGGTATCTGCGGGAGCCCCGTGTTGGAAGCAGGAAGATGACAGGAGCACAGGGCGTCGGCGTCAGAGTCCCCGGGAAGGACATCTAGCTTCCCAAGGAGCCCATGAAGTGCCAAGTCCCAGGAAGGACAGAGCAACCCAGCGGCAGGTCCTGTTACAGGACCAGCCCCTCCTCTGAAGTCCCTGTGAGCGACGAGGAACAGGGCTCCCGTGCGCCCCTTCGTGTGGCCGACCAGCCCCCACCTCTGGTGGTGGATACGCAGCCACCGCCAGCCAAGAAAATGACTGTATTTCCAGACAGTATGTTTAACCCACGGAAAATTTGCATTTCACAAGAAAAGTGTTTCAGAGAAGCAAAATTGTAACAATAATATTTTTTAGCTTAAGGAATCTGCGTATTTGGCGTGTTAAGATTTCATAATATTCGGACATGTGAGTCTAATTTAATATCGTAACTGAATAACTTATTGAAACAGGATTTTAAGTTAAAAGCTTCTTGTTTGTATACAGCGTTGGGATTGTGAGGCAGAGTCAAACCCACTGTATTTATAAGTGAGCTGCATGAGGCTTTATTTATACATAAACTTCTATTCCTTAGATTTCTGTGGCCTCGGGAGGGTTTGTTTGTTAAATCAGATAATCAGGGCACTTACAAAGGAAATGTAAGTGATTAAATTTTAAAACGCAGTTCTAAATGTTTCAAAGCGTTGGGTTAAATTTGTAAAGGGGCCAAATGCGACTCACAGGCCTTTCAAAGCGGGTGCTTACAGCCGCTGGACTCCTGTCAAAGAGGAGCAGGGTTGGTGAGGCGAACAGAAAAGCTCTTACAGAAAAGTTAGACTAGGTTGTTTTTTTTTTAAGTCACTTCTTAGTCAACCAAATATTAATTTTTAGAGACCGAGGTAAGCCACCGAATTCTCTTCTCTGTGTGCAGACACAGCCCAGGGGACATTGTTTTTAAATGGAGCCTCTCTCTCAGCATCAGGCACCTCAGACTGTATGGTCAATATGGGTTTTGAGAAGGGAGGCGTGGTCTGACTTCAGTTTTTACAACGGTCCCTTTCACGCGTAAGAACATCGCACCTTCACACGGCCGCTGCCGGAGGTGAGCGGGGGCGCGCACGTTGCTCACCGAGATGTATTCCCTGAGCAGCTCCACGGAGGTGAACTTGGCCTGGGTCTCCGTGCCGGTCCGCACGCACACCTGGAGCAGCCCGCTGAGCTGTGGGAGGTGAAGGGGCCAAACTTTAACACTAGGTCAAGCCTGGGCCGAAACAAGAAACTAGAACAAACAATACCCCAAGATGAAGGGAAGAATTAGAGCCCCCCCTTAGTAACAAGATAGGACAACGGCTGAGCCTTGACTCAGACAAATAGCCCAGAAAAAGCAGGGTCGGAGCTGAGGATAAGGGAGAAACAAATACCAAGAAAAACATATCAGGGTGCAGCCCCCATGCAGCTGGGCCAGAGTCGACAAGAATGAGGAGGAGGCATAGGGCGAGGGTTGAGCCTTGCCTCAGATACACATCCTGACCAGAGAAAGAGTAGGGGGCCCAGTAACAGCCTTGAACCTAATCAGCAAAAAAAAAAAAAGAAAGAAAGAAGCTGCCTATTGCTAACTGCCACTTCTCGCCCTTGTATCTTGCTTGCTTGCTCTGCTTATAAAAACCCGTGTACCCTTACAGCGGTGCGCCTTTTTCCTTTCGAGGGAAAGATGGCCCCTGCGCAGGTAAAACTTGGCCAAATAATAAAGAGTGTGTGATCAAACTCTAATTTCTGAGCTCATACTTGTGGGGATCGTAACAGGAGGAGCAGCCGCCGCCGTGGGGCGGGCCGGGCCGGGCCGGGCCGGGCCGGCCTCGGGCGCCCAGCGCAGCCCCGCCCCGCTCGCGCAGGATCGCGCCAACAGCCAACAGCCGGCCTGCCTTCCCAGCCAAGCGCCCAGAAGTGCGGCTCCTCTGGGTGGGTGTTTGCCTGTAAACACTTCCTTTGTATTTAGACACAAATGGTGAGGCGCTTTCCCTGGCACTCCCCCCGGGCAAGTGTCAGCCGCCGCAGCACCACCTGGCCACCGCCGCCCCACCCCTCGCCCCATCTTGGCTGCAGCTGTGAGCAGGGATTCCACCCAGGGCTGCTGGGTAACCGCCTTGGCTGTCCCCACCCCCCGCCCCGCCCTGGGGGTGGGGGTGTCCTGCTCCACCCTCCCTGCTTCACCCCACCCACAGCCGAGAGGCACCCAGAGGATCAGAGGTGGAAGAAACCCACCCAGCGCATCTGCCCACTGGGCAGGTGGCTCGGCAAGGTCACCCCCCTTAGGCCCAGGCCGTCCCCAGAAGCCCACCCTGAGAGATGGGTGCAAAAGGCTGTGCTGGGGCAGGGCGAAGGGCGGTCCCCCAGGAGGTACGTCTACGTCGACACGCCTGGGGTCTGCAAACGCTGCCTCACTGGGGAAAAGGATCTTTGCGGGTGTAATCAGGGGACTTGAGGTCATCCTGGGCGACCCAGGTGGGGCCTAAATCCGATGACAAGTCTTCTCACAAGAGATGGAAGAGGAGACGCAAGAAAGAGGACATGGACCTGCGAACCTGGGGGCAGAGCGGGGAGGGACGCAGCGCCCGCCGAGGAGCGCGGAGCAGCGCCGGCAGCCACCAGAAGCTGGGGCAGAAGGAACGCCTCCTCCTGGGAGCCTTTGGCAGGTGCGGGGCGGGGGATGGGGGGGGCCTTCAGTTTGCACCTCTGACTCCGGAACCGGGAGAGAATAAACGTCTCGGTTTCAAGCTGCTAGTTTTTTGCCCATGTGTCACAGCGGCCCCAGGAAGCTCAGCCAGGAGGTGGCTTCAGAAAGGCCCAGCAGGGCCTGGGAGAGGGGGGCCCAGAGAGCGGGCGGGGGAGGCGCCAGCGGTTCCTGGTCCGACCGCAGGCAGCAGAGCTCCATCCCGCTGGGAGGCGGCATAGGCAGGCTTTGGGAAGTTCAAGGGCATCCGCGCCTCAGGGCCTCGGGCCGCCCTCGGCGGGTTTGGAATGGGCCCCAGCGTGTCGGGGTCCCTGTCCCATTCCATTCCCTTTCTGCTCCGGGGCAGTGACCCCAACTCTCATCCACGAGGGAGCCTGCTGCGTTCCCGAGGGACGCTCTGTCACTCGGCCGCGTGTTCTCCCAGGAAGCTCAGCTCCATGACCCCGGGGTCTCGTGCGGGCTGGCTCTTCCCGACTTACGGGGCTGCCCGTTCTCAGCCTCAGGAAGTTGGCGGCACCCCCAAAAGCGCGACCTCCGTGAGCCAGAGCTGTTTCACTTGGAGTAAGAAAATCTGTTCAATATCGTCTGTTTCGTGTTTGACTCGGCGGCAGGAAGCCGCACACCCAGCAGCAAGGAAAATCCGCTTTTCCCACTGGAGATAGAGTCCTGCCTATATGTTTCTCAGGGACAAAAAATATATTTTTGCCCCTCCTTCCCAGAACACCATTAAAGCGATATCAGATAGATTATCCAAAAAGAAGAGGCCTTTACCAGCAAGGCGGTTGGGAAGAGACGTCATCGCAGGAGAGCGATGGCTTTCGGGGCGTCGGGAAGCGGCGGGCAGCGTTTTGAACGTGCCGGCAGCAGTCGGGCCGGGCCTGGCGGGCCTTCGGGCTAGCAGAGCGCAGAGGGGCTCCCGGGGCAGGGAGGGGCCACAAAGAGGCTGCGGAGCAGGCTGTCTCCACACGACAACTCCTCTCGGACCCACCGGCTCCGAGCCCCGCTTGTCCCTCCAGACCCGGGGCAGCCAGATGGGCACGCTACCCCTGGGCCAGCACACGCGTACTCACACGCGCACGCACACGCTCTTCTCTAAAGAAGCTGCGTGAACTGCCTGGGACTCAGAGGGGCCCCCAGAACAGCGCCCGAGATAAAACCCCTTTAAATCTAGCTCCCCGGCTGCCCTGCAGCAGCGAAGCCTTACCCACTCACGCCCCAACAGTGGCACCGTGTCTGTCGGGGGAGACCCCTCAGGGCCCGGGCAAAGGCGGAGGAAGCCCCGGACACCCCACCCGAGTTCTCCGCCTTCGGCACCAGCTGACCAAAGCGCATACAAACAAGGCCGATGGCACGGAAGGCCAGGAGCCCGGGAGACAAAAGAAAGAACTGACCCTGGAAGAAACTGATAGCAGACAAAGGAGAGAGGACGGCTGGAGACAGGGAGGGGCCTCTAAGTAATGTGCTCAGAGGGATTTAAATACGTAGAGAGGCATCGACTGAAAAATGATTCTTTTAAAAACTCACTGAGACAGAGTCTGGAAATTAAATTTATGAATATGTGACTGTCGAACTTCAAAAGAATGGCTGAATGGCAACGCTACAGAAAATTCCGAGAATAAAGGCAGAAAGACAAGAACACAGAAACCTGAGGGGAAAGAAGGGAAATGAGAAACCGCTGGTGTAAGAAACGCAGCATTCACCAGCAGGAGTCACGGAACGAGACGACGGGACTGGGAGGTGAGGACGCTGCCAAGAGCAGAAAAGCGAAAAGGGAAACATTTGTCCACCTTGAAGAGAAGGTGGACTTCGGTGTGAAATAAACCCAGAGTCTTGCACAGAACAAATAAAAAGAGGGCCACGCTCGGGTGCGTCGCGCGGGGACAGCCGAGCGCCCTGCAGAAGGGCGGCGGCGGCAACGCTTCCCAAGAGGAAGACACGGGTGTCCGTCGAGGCAGGAGAGTGAGCCTAGGTGGGACCCGGCCCGGCGCTCACGTCCTGCCTCGCCCACGTGACCAGCGCGCGATCCCGGGCACGTCTCTCTGCCCTGCGCCTCTCACCCGGGACGCAGGGAAGTGGCAAAACCTCTCCCATGTGGCTACCGTGGGGACAAATGACTTATTTATGTTAGCCCAGTACCGGAGACATAGCCAATGGCGTGTGATTCACTATTATTCTTTTTCAAAAGGAAAAACCAAAGCAACCAAAAAAGAGAAGTTAGCGATTCCTGGCCACGGACAGCGTGGCTGCCTCTCCAGCAGCCTTCTCCCTCTCCCCGGGTGGGGCGGCTGTGTGACTTGGGGGTAGGACAGGGCCTGACTGCACCTCTTGGCCTAAACCAGTGACCCTGCTCCCACCGAGCCACGCAGGTGCTCTCTGATGCCTACATCAACCCAGCACGAGCACGGAGCCTGGGGCTTCGGTTCAGCGGGCCGGAAACGCTCGCCTTTTGCTCTCTTCCTTCTGAAGCCCTCAGAAGCTGCTGGTCACCGCAGCCATGACCAAAGTCATCGCAGGAGGGGGACAGAGCCGGGGCCGCGACCCAGCCACGCCCGCAGCCCACACCACCGCCAGACCCTGGGGCAACGCACACCACGGAGCCCTCTTTGCCACTTAGGCCCCATCGAGCTGGGTTTTCTATTACGCCCACCCTCCCTCATGCCTGGCCTCGCCCCGGCTGTTACCTGGATGATGTAGGACAATGACAAGCCTTTGGACGAAGCGCTGATGGCGGGGAAACTCAGCGTCACCAACAAGGCCACAATGAAGGTGACGATGTTCATGAGGATATCCATTCTCAGAGCAAACCACCTGAGAGCGCAGTTGAAGTACAGGAGGTGGCTGGAGTTTTCATCATTGAGCGTCTTAAACCTGAGATTAGGAAACGGGACAGAACAGGAGGGTCAGCTGCGCGTCCACAGGGCGGCCAGGGCTACCGGGGACACAAGGCAAGGGGCGTTCTTAATCGAGGGCGCATGCACTTTTACAAAAATGCCCACATGCCCAAAATCTGCCGTCACAGACGTCTGTGGTGTGCACGTATTCTGAGCCATCCCACGTGGCAGTACAGCGTGTCCTGAGCGGGCCCTCGCTGTCCTTCCCAGATCCGGCCCCTGGAACCCCAGCTGAGAGCAGAAGGGGGTGAGAGTACCTCACGCTCTACCTTCAAAGGATCCCTGTCTTGGGGTCAGCCACCCCCACAGTCCTTGTGGAATTGACCACTGGCACCTTAATCTATAAGAACGGGGGGCCGGGCTATGGAGGAGGCGGCCTTTAGGGGTGATCAATATTTGGGGCGGTAGAGGAGGGAAGAGAGGTGCTTGATTGGATCCCCTCCCCGAATAAGGGCTTCTTATTCGAATAAGAGGCCTCGAGGTCGTTGCTTCTGAAGCTGGGGCTCTCTTTCAGAAGACGGGCACATGCTGTGCCTCTACTGTGTGTCCGCTGCGTGAAGGGACACAGGGCAGAAGCGACAGAGGGGTTCGTGGCTCAGGTCCTGCCCGTTCCTGCCATTCCCAGAGTTGGGAGCAGAGGGAAGGTGCCATCTGGGCCGTGGTCTGGCTGCGCCATCGCTCGGCATGGGGCAGAGAGCCCCCACGACAAAGGACCGTGGCGTGGGGCTGCCTGGCAAAGCTCCCTGAAAGACCCAGGCGGTGCTTCCCGCCGCACACGGCCCCCCTGTTGCGGGACCCCTGCTCGCGGCCCAGCCTGACCGCGCCAGGCCTCTGGGACGGGGGCCGGGGCGGGGGCGGGGGGAGGTCTGTGTCTTGAATACATTCCAGATTGAGCCTGAGCTAACCCGTAGCCAAAAGAGACGTCAGAGTCAACTGCCACCGACATTTCCCCTGACCCACTTGGAGCAACGGGTAGAAATTATTGGGAAAAATGGAAACTTTTCGATGTTCAAACCCATAGCGAGCGACGGGAAGGGTTCTGAGTGGAAGCCCCTCCAACCGGCTGGGCCGGGCCCTGCTGTACCTCCTTCCCGCCTCCTCCAAAGCCTGTCCTCAAAGCTTCATTAAAATATTCTGGCGAACGCCGTGGAGTTCTATCGTGCTGCTATGAAGCCTACATGTAACTCAGCTGACGGCATTCAGTGACTCTGAAGTCACTCAAGGTCTTATCTGTGAGGCTGGCTAGGCGGTGCAGAAGCCCTGGCTGGGATCGCAGTGGAATTTGACCTCTAACCTGTTGATGCTTCAGCACCTTTGTCGGGTGGCGCAGGCAATAGTGTCAGAAGCCCCAGCCCCCTGCCACGTCCGTGACAGGCAAGGACGCACTGAAAGGGGGCAGCCCCGCCCGGCAGGCAGGGCCCCGCCCCTCTCTGGGGTCCCCCCGGAGGCCTGGGGGGGACACGCTTGGCTCTGCTCCGCGGACAGACAGACACTGGGAGGCCCGGCGTGTGACACAGGGCTGCTAGCACACGACATTGAGGTCAAACTAGTTGGTAACAGGACTGGCCGATGACAACCAGAGTCAAGGATGCCAAGTCCACCCTGAGATTGGGGGTGGGGGTGAGGAGGGAAGAGCAGAGAGAGGGGGGATTAGATGCAAACTTCAAGTGTGTGTTAGGTTTTTAAGGAAGGAAAAGATTTAAAAAAAAAACAATTAAAAAAAAAAAAGCTCTCGTCGCTCCAGTATCTTCTGAAGAGCATAGAAGGCATTCTGTGCATGTTGGATGAATGAATAAATGAGTAAAACACAACAACAAAGAAAATCTATGTGGCAGAGACTGCTATAGACTCCCCAATTTCTTTGCCTCCTATGGATACCGTGGACTACATTTCCCAGCCTCCTTTGCGGTGAAGGGAACTCACGTGACTGAAACCTGGCCGATGAAAGGGCAAAAATGACGAGCATCTTCACTGGGGTTGAGCCAGTAAAAATTTCATGTGGGTCCGCCCACCAGATCTCTCCCCTTATCTTCCAGTTGGACCCAGAGGACCGGGGAGAAGTCCCCAAGACCCCTGAGACGGGAAAGCCCCAACGGAGAGCAGCTGTGTCCCTGAGTAGGGAGCAGAACCCCCGCCCCCGCCCCCAGGACCCCGTTCCACTGTGACTTGAGGAGGGATGAACATGTTTGGTGGGAAGCTCCTGGAGCCTGAGGCCCCCGGTTCCCACAGTGAATCTACTGCAATTGCACCCGGAGACCGTATGATACTGCATGGTCTTTTAGAAGCTTGGGGCTGGCCGCCTCCAGGGACCTTTTCTAATCTACTCCCCACACTTTACGAAGACGGAAACGGGTCCCTCCACTAAGTAAAATGTCATTTGACCTTTAGAAATCATCTTGACAAGGAATAGGTAAGCATAAAAGATGCTATTTAAAAATAAAGCAGGACCAAAGTGGTTATAAGTATTTCAGAAAGAGAAAAAAGACTGGAAGGAAGCATATGGAAATATTAATAGAATTTGGGTTGGGGGCCTATGGGTGAGTGTTTTTGTTTTTGTTTTTTTTTTCTGTTTTCTGTTGTCACTTGTTTTCCTAAATTGAACACATGTTGCTGTTAGTGCGAAAGAAGAAAATAGATCCAATCCCCCACCCAGGTTGTCACGGAGCGCGGTCCCGTCTTTGGGAGCCCCAGATGCCGGGGGCCCGAGTGTCTGAGGGGGCTCCTCCCCCAGCCTGTCTGGTTGGTCCCCGCCAGCCCGGACTTCCCTTCTCGGCCCCAGGGAAGCCGTGTGTCGCCGCTGCCTCCTGTTCGGGCGCAGGCGGGCGGCGGGGCCGCAGCCAGCACTCACTTGCTGATGCAGTCCTCCTTCCCGTCGTAGGCGTGGATGACGCCCAGGCCCTGCATGGACGAGGTGACGTGCGAGAACCAGGGGGCCCGGCTGATGTTCTCCACCGTCTTGAGCTCCCGGATCCCTCGGTGGAAAATGCTGTGGGGGCATCAAGAGGGTGGCCGGGTGGGGTCTCGGGGGGCTCCCCTCAGCACACGCAGACCCGACTGTGCGCTCGAGACACGGGTAAAGTCCGACGGGTGGCATCGAACTAGGGGTGGGGGTTGGCCCACCGCCCTTCTCTAGGAGGGCCATCCGGCTGGTGTGTTGGGGGTGCGTCCTGTAAATGAGGGTCTCAGCGGTGGGACCGTTCCTCCCTGTGGTCCTGCTCTGGGTGCTCCCGGAAGCAGGAGTGGCTCGCCACCTGCGAGGTCAGTCCAGTCTGCAGGACCAGACCCTTTCCCACGGGGAGCCTGAAATAGAGCCGGCCCCTTCTCGGTGCCCAGCCACAGGAAAGGGGGTCTTTTCCGGTTGTGGGGGAGAATCCGGATCTGGGGTGTCGCCTGCCTGTCTCCTGAGGGTGTTTCCAAAGGCAGCTTCGAGCCGACGTCTCCGGAGCTGACCTCAACACCAAGCCCCTCACTGGGCACAGCCCCCTGGGATGTCGGAGCTTGGGGACTCAGGACTCGAGCCTGGGGACTCGGGACTCGAGCCTCGAGCCTCGGGCGCGGCCTGGGCCTTGTGCAGAGTTACCCAAACCCGCGCGGGTCTTGCCTGCTCCTTTCCTGAAGTGGCGTCGACCTACCGTAGAAGCACCCAGAAGCCGACGGCCAGGCCGGCCAGGACGAGCAGGACGGCAGGGAACACGGCCCCCAGGACCACGAGGATGGACAGCACCATGAAGAGCTGCTGCAGGAAGTTCTCTGTGTGGAAGGGCAGCCGCACGTCCAGCTCGTCCATGTCCTTGGAGAACTGGTTCATGAGCCTGCCGCTGGGAGTCACGTCGAAGAAGCGCATGGGGCTCTGCACAATCTGCAGGCACAGCCGGAGGGCCCGTGGGCGGCGCGCGTGGGGCTGGGGAAGCCCGGCTCTCCGCGGGGCCGGGAGGCTGCGCACAGGCCTGGCCTCCCTCCCGGGGCCGTGCTGGGCCCCCGCGAATCAGAGTGGACATGGGGTTTGGCCTCTGTGTGGAGCTTCCCTCCCCTCCCGGGGGGCAGCCTGGGGTCCCTTTGGAGGACAGAGGGATTTTGTGCCTGAGGCCAATAAAAAGCTAAGTCCCACTTATATATGGACCATGCCTGCGTACTCTGGCCCTGGGCTCGCCCCGGGTGTGGAGGGTCCCAAAGCACCTCCTGAGGCCCTCGAGGGGCTCAGGGCTCCGGGAGCAGGAGACGCCCGCTTGGCCGCTCCCGCCTGTCCCAGCGCAGCACCCTGGGGGCCTCCGTGAGCACCCGCACGCAGCCCCAGGGCCCACAACACCCCCTGCAGCAGCTCCCTGGAGTCTGCCTTCACTGTGGGTCAGCAGACAGTGGGAGACCCTCCCCAGACTCGACAGGAAGCCCCACGGGCGTGGGGCCCAGCCCCAGAGCCCATGCAGTGCCCAGGGTGCCGCGGCGATAGGCGCACCACCGGCCGCGCTGGCTGACGGGCTGGCGGAGCACGCGGCCCCCAGGCGGTACCTTGTCGAACGTGTGGTCGTGCAGCGAGGAGGACGCCATCAGGGTGGTCTTGGTGAAGGTGAACCCTTTGGCGATGCCAAACAGCAGCACGGACACCATGCTGCCCACATACACCCACGGGAACACAGGCAGCCCCGTGCCCGCCAGCACGGCGTCCTGCTTGCACGAGCTCTCGTTGCCCTGAGGCCCGCAGGTCGCCTTTGCGGAAGGGCGAGGAGAAAGCAGGGAGAGTCGGTCAACAGCCGGGAGAGTGGGGGTTTTCCAGAAAGAAGAAACTGGAAGGAGGTTGTTATTGTTAAGGACGAGCCAGGTGGTAAAAATCGAGTCGGTTCCCTTTGGGGGCCTCTGAGCGCTGCCTGGGCCCTCCTGCTGGGCCGCCGTGATCCCAGGGGGCAAAGGAGACAAACCAGGCAGGCACAGGGCAGCCGTCCCGGAAGCCGGCTGAGCTCAGGGCACCAGAGGGGATGCTCGGCCGGGAGGACGATGGGGCAAAGGAGACCAGGACTCCACGGGGCTGGCTGAGCCTCCCGTCTGCCGAGCTGCCTGGCAGAAGCCGCAGGCCTCTGGGGAGACACTGGCCTCTCTGCGTGTCAGGGCGGCCCCAAGCCCCTCCCCTTCCTTTCCTCGGGGGCCCTGCCCTGGAGCCCCGGGGGGGCCGGAGGGGGCCTGGTGAACCCAGGGCCCTGGGGCAATCAAAGAGACCTCGGGCGGCAGCGCCCCCCCGGGAGAACACGCTTTTTTTTGCCAGCGTTTGTGGAGAGAGGCCGCCGCCGCCTCCTCCTGGGAAACCAGCCGCTCCATTTTTCTCCGAGTCGTGAGCTAAAAGTCAAGACTGCCTTTGGGGGGCAAACAAGTGTCTTCCTTCTAAACTCCGTTCCGCTGATGACAGCAGCAGCGGAAGCGCGCGCCCGAGGTGGCTGGCGGCTGATGGGCGAACACCCACAAAAGCCAGAGCATCCTTGGGGTGCTCCCTGATGAGAGAGGTGGCCTCGCAGGGCCTTCGGCGGGGCCCCGTGTCGGGGGCACGGGCAGCACGGGCCCGCCACCGGCCGCTGCCTGCTCCGCTGGCCGGCGGCACCGCCTGGGAGCTGGCTGCACCCGGCCCGAAACCCCGGGCTCTCCGAGAGCGCGCAGGGCGTGGGGGCGCACGCGCTTCGCCGACGCGGCCCTCCTGCCGCATGGGGCAGCCGCCCACTGGCTTCCCCCTTGGGAAGGGCCTCGGGAAGCCGTGCCAGACTCCAGGGGGGCTGTAGCGCCTCTCCGCTGCCCACGTTTCCCCAGTGCCTCCTCACTTCAGTTGTCATAGCAACAGAACTGTACCAAAATTTAACCTTGGAGGGTGCGCAGGCAACCCCAGAGCATTCCCTGGGGCTCCAGTGGCCAAGAGCTGGGTGAGTTTCCTGGCTGCTCCGGGGGGAGCCGCCTCGTCAGTCCCCTCCCCCGCCCCCCTGAGAGGGACCCTGGCCCAGCGAGAGCCCTGGGAGGCCGAGAGAGAGAGAGAGAGAGAGAGAGAGAGAGAGAGAGGGAGGGAGAGGGGCACCCCGGGGTCCACGGCATGCCCAGGGGCCAGCCGGCTCTTGCATGCCTGGTTCCCACAGGCAGGGCTTGGGAGAGCAGAGCTGGGAAGGGCGGAGCCCTCCAGTGCCCGGCAGGTCCGCAGCAAGATGCCGGTGCCCCCGCAGAGGCAGGAAGACACAGATCTGTTCGGCCTCCCCAGCCCCTGACAGCAGAGGCCGCGGAAGGGACGCTGTGCTGCGCACCGTGGCCCGCAGACCATCTGTGTTTGCTTGGCACCATCTGCGACCTATCCTCTAAAGACTGACGGTGGCAAACAACACCCTGATGCCCCGTTCGTCTTGAAAAATGGGAGGGGGTTTCAGGATCAGGGTCCTGGGGTGCGAGCCGTGGGCCTCGGCTCCGTGGGCCGGGGTCCCGGGAGGCACGTGAGGTCCCTTCGTGGCGCCGGACGGGGCAGGGCTCTCGGTGAGCCATTTCTCAACGCTCTCCAGGGCCCGAGGGACACTCACCTGGGAGCGCTGGTCTAACCAGAAGCCCAGCCACCAGTTGCTGAAGGCGGAGCTGCCGATCATCAGGAGGAAGAGGGACACAGTGAAGAGGGAGAGGAGGTAGCCTGCGAGAGGAGGGCGTGGTCCGGTAGGTTCTGGGTGCAGGGGCTGGGAGGGGGCGCAGCGGGCCTAGCTTCCTCGGGCCCGGCCCCAATGGGAAATTTAAAGCCTGTGGGGAAAGGGCCCCCCAGCCCCGGGAACCTCCTTCCAGGCTGATGGGCCGCTTCTGGGTGCGGGGCCCCTGAACCCCATTGGGGGCACCTGTCCACCTGGTTGGAAAACAGACCCGAGTTGTCAACTTCTGGAGAAACCGCCAGTGCGCCCCCTAAGGGAAGGGACTTGGCATTCTTTAGAAACAAAGAGGTTAAAGCCCAGCCTTGCCGTGGGGAGACGGGGAGACTGCAGGGGTGCGCCTCACGCCCCACACCGGCACGCTGCCCTGAGGCGGGTGCAGACGCAGAGGGGAGGACGCGGGGACCTGGCTGGGCTGCGCTGCCGCTCGCTCCACTCCAGCCAACGGAGCCCGGCAGCTTCCGTCGGGGGGGAGGGCGACCCCGTGTTACCCGGGCTGTGTTGCCAGGCTTTGGAGTTTCAGGGGCAAAATGAAAGGCATTGACAAACAGCCCCAGCCCAGAGAGAGCAGTTGACAAAGAAATCATATGTGAGCCCAGCAGTCCAAGGAGGACGTCTAGTTTTTAAATGCAAGTGAAAGCATGCCGTTGTTGAGTACCGAACCTCCAGCCGCCTTAATGTACGTGTGATACGTCTTCCAGGTCACGGTTCCTTCCCGGGGGGCTCTGGTCTGGACCAGCTGGTGCAGAGAGTCTGTGGACACAGACACAAGTCCTGCGGCTCCCCCCGTGGGGGCCGGAGTCCCCGGGGGGCGGCCCCCCACCACCCCCGACGCCACACGCCCCGGGCTTCCAGGTTCTCGGCACAGCTTGGTTGTCTGGTTTGGTCCCCACGGCGGCCCTGGCAGCAGCGGCTTTTGGTCCTTCGGGAACTATTTGCTAAGCACCTACTGTGCGCTCAGCCCCGAGGACACAGGCATTGCCTGGTTGAGTTCTCCCGCAGCTGGGGGCCGAGATGAGGCTAAGACGCTGGGGGTTAGGCAGGAGCCAAGGGGAACGGGGGAGCCCGTGAAGGCAGCAGTGACAGGCGCCCCATTGCGCCAGCCTTGTCTCAATCCCACGAAGAGGATTCGGGCCAGAGCAGATCTCAGAGCCTAGGGTTCCTCACAGGATCCGAGGGATCTGGGATCTTGCGGCACCAGCTTCCGTCAGCCCCTGTGGGCAAATTCCCAGCACTTCCAGCTTGACCTGTGACCCGGCCCCTGCTGCTGCCCGAGAGAGGCCCCAGACAGAGGGGAGCGGGCCGCCCACAGCGTCTGCTACAAGGGAGCGAGGAGGAAGTTGCCTGTCTTCTCGCAGCTCACGCCACACAGAAGACACCCCGGTGTCCTCCTAGGTCAGCCCCTGCCTGGACTCCTGATCCCGCCATGTGGCTGTGCCACGTCCTCGCCATTTTTCAAGGGGAAGGAAAGTGACCACCACGTTCCCATGGAAACCTGACGCCGTCCCAGGACTGAGAGTGGCTCTCCTCCAAGGAGGCAGGAAAACACCAGCCCCAAAGCAGAATCCTTAACTTTACTCGGCTTCTGTAAACTGCGAGGACGCACAGAGCTGGACGCGGCGCCGGCCCCGGGCTGTGTGCGCCCCGGGCAGGCAGGGCCCCGCACCGCGAAGGCGCCTCTGTGGGCGTGGCCGTCGTCAGCCCCTCGCCACTGGGAGCCTTTCCCTTCTGGCGTCTGTGAAACCAGGCGGCCTGACTCTGGCTCACTGTGCCTCCCCCTGGGACTGTGACGCGAGGGAGCCCCCAGGCGGGCGTCCCGGAGCGAGGGGCCGTGCCAGGTCCCGCCCGGACTGCTGCCTGCCCACCGCTCGCCTTTGCCGCGCTCCCGCCCGCTCCGGAGCCGGGCCGGCTGGCGGGCAGCTCTGCCTTTGACCGGCGCCCTCCCTGTGGCCCCGATGTGTTAATTCCACGATTTCCCTTCGCTCTCCAGAGAAGGGGGTGGGGGAGCGTGAAAGCGGCGCAGGACCCCGACCCCGGGGCCCCCCGAGCGGCCCTGGGCCAGCAGCTCGCTGCAGCGCTGGCCGCCTCCGGAGCAGCGAAGACGCCGCCTTCCCCACCGCGCACGCCTCTGTCACCAGCGCATTGCGGCTGCCAAGCCTCACCCGCTGGATGAGGAGACGCGCCGCCCCCCACATTTTCACGCCTCTGAAATCAGACGAGCTCCCGCTCTCGCGCAGCCCGGCGCCTCTCTGTGCAGTTGGCAGAGGTCTGTCTTTCTAAGCACAGGAGTGCACACAGTGATGGTGATGTCAACACAGACGGCATCTGCGATCCGATGACAGAGACTCGGGGGCGGGGGGGTTTAGCTACACATCATCGAGGAAGAGAGCTCTCGCTGAGAAAGCCAGCTCCCAGTGGGCACTCCGCGGAAAGAGACGGAGGGTCTTGCTCCCTGGCCTCTCTCAGTGCCCAGCGTGGGCCGGGCACAGAGCGGGTGCTCAACCGTGCTGAAGAGATGACGGATGGACAGAGACAGGGTCTGAGGACACAGGGAGGCCGCTGGACCAGCCTGGCTCTTGCCAGCCCATCCGCCACCTCTCTCCTCTCTGCCCTCCTGAAACTTCCTCTCACCCTCAACCCCAAGTCTTACCCGCCCCTACCCTGCATCCCTGGCAAACTCCTACATATCCGTGAAGGACCAGCCTGGACGTTGCCCCCTCTGGAAAGCTCTCCCTGATTTGCTACTCAGGCCATGGCTCCCCATTACTCTCATCACAGCGTCCCATGATGCTCCCCTGGCCTGTGACCCCCTCCCCCAACCTCCAGACCCTGAGGACAAGGACCTATTGCTTTCTCCGCCTCAGACTAGCGGGGGGCCCAACACAAGCTGGGTGCTCAGGCCGTCCTTACGGAGGCGTGGATAACCTGATCGCGCCTCAGCCTCTTCTCTGCCGCCTGGTCATCTTACGGCGCCGTGCACTGGGCGCCTGCCTCCAATTAACCTAAACGACCTCCGCTTGGCTTCGACCTCCTCAGCTACTATTAATAGTCACTGCTGAGGGTTCTTGTCTGGCAGGCACTCCGCTCATTCTTTTACGTGCAGCTTCTTCAATAATCGCGCAAGAACCCGCGAGGCAGGTATTATTGCTTTCCCACTTTACGGACTGATAAGCCAAGGTTCAGCGCGGCCACGTTCTCCTGCTCAGGGCCGTAAAGCCAGTCGGCGGCTGAGGCGGCATTCAGGCTCCGGCAGCGGAGCCCCGCGGTGAACCACGGAGCCCCAGGCAGCCCGAGGCACACGCATGGCACGGCCGCTTCGCTGTCCCGAGCCGGGGATGCTCAGCGCACGTGGGGCCGCCGGAAGCAAGGCCTGCTGGAGCGCGGTGGGTCGGGTAATACTATGGGTGTCATCGTTTACAGTTTTAATGGGAACAGTTCACCTGAAATGTCCCGTGGTGTGCTCGAGTGTGCTACGGCCTTGTTACAGAAGGACGGGGCTTGTCATGTTGTAAGAAAACAGTGGCATCATTTGTGCCGGACCCTGTGTTTAGAAGCATATAACCAAGGGGATGAATGGTAAGTACCTTTGATGCCTAAGAATTCTGAGTCTGTGTCAGGCTCTTTTCCTTCCTCTTTCTCCTCCCCTGGAGCCGGAACTAGGGTGAGAAATAGAGAGAGGCGTGTCCCCTCGGGAGCTGCGGGGAGCCAGGGGGGCGCGATTCGAACCCGGGACATACCAGCCCCTTCCTCTGTGTCCTCAGGGCTCTCCTTGGGGGCTTCCACCATCGCCGCGTTGTAAAGGTGCTCGGGGTCCTGCAGATGAAATGAGACGCCTCCTGGAAGCGGAACGACGGACGTTCCCGCAGGCAGGGGGCCGGGAAGGGGGCCAGTCCCGGGGGCCGGCGCCCGGTGTGCACGCACCTTGAATTGCAGCCCGCGGAGGTTGTGCACCAGTTTCGCGTAGCGCCCTCGCCCCTCCATGAGCTCCTTGTGGGTTCCCTTCTCACAAATCTCTCCGTCCTCCAGCAAAATGACTTCGTCGCAGGACTCCAAGAACTGCAGAGAGCACACCGCCACCACAGTGAGCTGCCGCCCACCGCAGAGCAGAGCCCCGAGCGGGCTCGGCCCGGCCCCGTCGACCCCAAGGGCCGGGTCACGCTTTGGTGTGGAGGCCCGTCCCGGGCGCTGCAAGGCCCTCAGCCTCTCTGGCCTCCTCCCGGGAGCGGCCGCAGACCTGGCCGAGGGCCCCGTAGGGGCGAGATGGCCCGCACTGGAGAAGGGTCGATCTAGTGACCGCGGGTCTCCGGAGTGCAAGGGGGGGCTTGGGAGGTCACTGGGAAGTGCGTCCTACGGGACCATCCCCTTGGAGGGCAGGATGTTTGACGCCAAGGGTGGGCAAGGCACTGGGCGGGTTGGGGGCAGATCGTCTGAGCAGGAGCGGCCTGGGTTTTTTGTTTGTTTTTAAAAAGAGGCTTTATTTGCTTATCTTCAGAAAGTGGGGGAAGGGAGGGAGCAGGAGAGAGGGAGAGAAACATTGATGTGAGAGAGAAACATCGCTCGGTTGCTTCTCGTACGGGCCCCTTCCGGGGACCACACGTGCAACCCAGGCCTGGACTCCGACCGGGAGTCAAACCCGCGCCCCTTCCCTTGGCAGGGTGACGCGCAACCCCCTGAGCCACACTGGTCAGGGCGCAGCCTGGCTTTTAATATCCAGCTGGGATATTTTCTGAGAGAGACCCTTTCCTGAAAATAGCTGCCCCTCTTCCCTCGGGATCTCCTGACTTCCCAGAGTCTGACCTCGCCTCTCAGTCCTCAGCCTCCTACAGTGCAGTCAAGAGAGCAGGAAGCTTGAGGATCAGCCTGGTTTCCAGACGGGGAAACTGAGGCACGGGTGCGGGGCCTGCCTGCGTAGGGCACATGTCCCAGCCCCAGAAGCTCCTGGGGAAGCCGCTCTGGCCAGCGGGCCCCAGTCCACCCCCGTGCGACTCGGTGTGATTTGCGCAGCTTTGTTCTGCAAAGGCGTGGAGCCCGGTGGGGCTGGAGTTTGGGGGCCTAGAACGCGCCTCAGTTCTGTCTGTCTTCCCGGGTTGCAGGAGATCAGTCACCCAGCCCACGCGCCGGGGAGCACCTGGCCGCAGGCCCGGGGGACCGAGGGAGAGGGCAGCTGAGAAGTGTCCAGAAAAGCCCTCAGCCCCGTTCCAGGCTCTGAGCCACCTGCTCCCCCAAAATGGGCCGCCGGACAGGGCTTGCGGGACCATCTGGGGGCTGCCTGCATTTTTCAATGCGCAGAGGTGACCTGAAGGGACCTTGGCATAAGGTAGCCTCTTCGGGAGACTGAGGCCTGAGGGAAGAAGGCTCTTGCCTGGGGTCACGTCGCCAGTCCGCGAGGTTCAAGCGTTGGGCCTGGGCGGAGGCTACTATGCCCCCGGCGAGGACCCCCAGGGGGGCAGCTGTGACTGCATTTGTCAGGCGCCAGGAGTCCCTCTGCAGGTCCCCAGGACCCCTCAGGATGACAGCACCCCCCGCCCCCGGCAGGCCTGGGGTCACCACATCAGCACCCTAACTGGGCAAGAGCCTGCCCCCGCCCCCTCCCGGGGTCCAGGAGAAACACGGCCCTCTCTTCCACCGGGGCCTCTGGCCGGCCGGGGGGCCAGGGGCTCCTGCCCTCACCGGCCCAGCCTGCCGCTTCCTGGGGGTGACACCGCGAACCCAGAGGCGGCCCCGCAGTGTCCACCAGCCAAACCCAGAGGCCGGGATGTGCTTGGAGGGCTCCAGCCCCCGGCACAGAGGGGTGCGGCCTCGGGGCAGAGCCACGGCGGCAATAAGGCCTGAGTTTCCTGGGTCTCTAAGAAACGTCTCTCTTTTGTGCTTGGAAGAAGGGCCTTGGCCTCCCTGAGCCCAAAGTCAGGACCAAGAGAGCCGTGCGGACAGGGGCCGGCAGGGTGGCCGGGGCCGCCGGCGTCTCCCCCGGGACCCTGTCCAGGGAGGGCAGCCTCGCCCAGCAGAGCGGGTGTGGGCGGCGGGAGGGGAGATGACCATCGGGGCCACACCGCCCCGCGACCCGTGGGTCCTGCCAGCCCGGCCACCTGCAGCTGGTGGGTCACCAGGACGACCGTCTTGCCCCGGAGCGTCTTCCGGATGCACTCCTCAAAGACGTGCTGCCCCACGTGGGCGTCCACGGCCGACAGGGGGTCGTCCAGCAGGTAGACGTCACGGTCGGAGTAGACGGCGCGGGCCAGGCCGATCCGCTGCCTCTGGCCCCCGGAGAGGTTGAGGCCCCGCTCCCCGATCTGCGGACGGGGGCCACGGCCACTGCCCGTCTCGGGGCCCCTCCCACCACCCCACAGCCCTCGGGGAGCAGGAGCTTCCTGAACCTCCTCGAGACACTTCTGCAGACTGGTCGTCAGCTGGTCCCAGCTCCTCCACCCCTTGCAGCTGCCCCCAAGGCGGAGAAGCGGCTTCGGCCAGACACCTTGCCTGAGAGGACAGTCTGACAGAAGTGGCCCCAGGCGTGAGCGGGCCGAACCGACACCAGCGGAGCCGGTGGCGCCTCCATGGTGACACCTCCCCAAGGACAGACGCAGATGGAGAATTCGAGGCAAAAGGACCTGACTTTCCCCCGACTCCTGGGACCTTCCTGTCCTCCGGGCGTCGGAGGTGGTGGGCGCGGGGCGGCCGTGGGGCCAAGCTGCGGGGCCGGCTCCGCTCACCTCGGTCAGGTCCCCGTAAGGCAAGCCTCTCAGGTCCTCCTGCAGGGCGCAGACCCGGACCGCACGCAGGTACCTGGGGGCGGGAAGGTCAGAGGTCAGCACGGGGAGGAAGCCCCCACCAGCACCGCTTCCCGGGCTGCGCCTGGAGGCATTGCTGTTGTCACGGGGGCCAGGCGAGGAGGCGTCCAAGGGCAGCTTCCCCGGGACCCCTCGCCTCCCCTGGCCGGACGCAGAGCTGACCCGGGACGTCCAGCTCTCCTCTCCGGGCCTCAGCCTCTTCGCCTGTAAACTGGGGGTCTGACGCCTGGGTCCCCCTGACTCGGTGGTCACAGAACTTGAGTGAGAGACCGGACAGGGCAACCCCTCAAACTCGGCAAAGAACCACGGGAACCAGAGGTAGGAGACACTGGTCCAAAGCATCTGCAAAGTTAGGACTGAAGCTTTGTTTCTATTCCATGCGATCATTTTGAGAACATCAACGGCAACACCTCCCGATACCTCTGCTGCCAGCTGATAACTGCAGGGCTGATTCACTGCACGCGTGCCGTTCACGATGTCAAGACAGCTTTTGGCTGCTTGGCCTAACGCAAAACCGCCAGGTTTATCTTCCTCCCGTCTCACAGCACATGCACGGGAACAGAACCCCCGAACACACGCTGCTCTGCACTGGGATCCGTCCGTGTCCCGGGCGGGGCACAATCCCACGTCTGCAAAAGGCGCCTCTCCTGAGCTCTCGGGTCGGGAAGACGCCAACACCCGTCCAGGTCCGACCAGAGTTTGATCAGACCTCGTGAGAGGGGCCCACATGGCGGCTGTGGCCCACGGCGCCGGCGTCGGCCGCAGGAGGCCTCGAGCTTTCCCAGGTGCCAGTACCTCTGTTGCTCGTACTTCGCTCCAAACAGTATGTTCTCTCGTACACTTCCGTGGAAGATCCATGCCTGCTGGGACACGTAGGCCAGGGTCCCGCTGACCGCCACGACCCCCTGTTGTAACCGCATCTGCAGGCCCAAGCCCAGAGGACACTCAGAGGCCGACCTCGCAGACTTCTCCCCAGGGGCCTGCTGGCCCCTCTCCGTCCCTCATCCCGCGGCATTCGTGCTGAAGGTGCTGGGTGCTGGGTGCCAGGGGGTGCGGGGGGGAGCAGACAGGACGTCTGCAAAGCCCAGCTGTGCAGACCGAGGGCTTCGACACGGCAGCCAAGGCCAGAAGAAGCCTCCCTGCTCAGAGGCACCTCTGAGCCTGGTGTCCTTGTCCTTTCAGAAGCGCCTCCCCTCCCCCTCGCGAGAGTGAAGGCAAAGCCAGGGGCCCCAGGACCACCTGAGCCACGGGCAGAGGTCGGGGGGCGTGCAGGGAGGAAAGAGGTCCTGCTATTTTTGCCCAGAACGTTCCTCATTCATTCGGGATGAGATCCCCTGGCCACAGAGAGGCTGTGAGCACAGAGGCTGGCTTGACCATTTCCCTGGGGTCCCACCGCAAGAACTAGCAGAGGCGAGGCAAGAACCCGGGCCCCCCCTCCTTGCCTGGGTTTTGCAGAGAAGCTGGGGGCACGGCGCCACTCTAGCCTGGGGGTGCGCTTGGCCCCCTTGTCCAGGAGGGCTTGTCTGAGCAGCCGCCCCAGGCAGACGCTGGGCGTAGGGAGGCCACACGGGAGGAACACCTCCAAAGTCACGGTCTCAGGCGCCTGGATGCCGCTCCCCCTGCCCCCCCCCACCCCCGCCACCAACCTCTCTGATGAAGGCCTGGAGGCCCGTGGGTTTAACGACCCGTCTCCTCCTCTAACCCCGACAGAGCTTCAGGCAGAGACGCGGTCCCCACTTAACACACATCGGGGGGCAAACCTGGGGTCTGTGGAAGCTCAGCCCCCGTCCCCCGAGGGCCGGGCGCCACGGGGCACAGGAACCTCCCGGGCGTGGCCGCCCACCATGTGCCCAGCCTCCAGGTCCCAACCCGGCGGGCCGGGACCCTGCCGCGGTCAGGCGGGTGCTGCGCCCTCACGGTGTTCCGCACAGCTCACCTGCCCCAGGAGAGCGGCAATGAGGGAGCTCTTCCCGCTGCCGACGTTCCCGCAGATCCCCAAGACCTTCCCCTGCCAGAGAAATGGAAAGGGACCCGGTCACTCTCCCTGTCCTCACAGGGTCTGGGGACCAAGGCGTCGCCTCTGAGCTGTGCAGGTGGGACCAAGGGGTCACCGCTGGCTCTAGGAGGTGAGGCGGGTGCAGCCAGGAACCAACTCAGGACAGACCGGCAACAGCCAGTGGTTGAAATCTGCTCCCCGCACTGCAGGCGTCTTGGGACTTTGTGGGGGATGGGCAGGCCCTCAGGCCCAAAGGCGGATCTGGCCATTGAAAGGCGGCCAGAGCTCAGGGTCGGTCCCCGGCAGACAGTATCCACTCCAGGTGGCAATTGAGTACGACCCGGCAGAGCGGGAGAGGGAGCCCGTGGACCCCCGGGAGCCCCCACACGCGGAGCAGGACACCAGGGAGGCGGGCACGGGCCGCTCTTGTGTCCAAGCCGACGCTGCCGGGCCGTTGCCGGAACATCCGAGGACATTCTCGTTAAGCCCTGCGCCCTGCGGCCCCTTAGAGCAAAAATGCCCGCGTGGGGTCAGTACGGCTCCTTCCACACCCGCGCGGGACCCCAAGGGCCTGTCGCCGGCCTGCTTGCCCAGCACCCGAGGGTCACCGCCTGTCATCCCGAGTTCCCATGACAGAGTCTTGGCCGCGCACCGGGCGCCCTGCTGGGCCCCGAGGGTGAGGTGTGCGGCCACCAAGGCAGGCGCGGCCGCTGCCTCACGGGGCCCATGTCATCATGGGAGCCACAGGTGGGTGAGGCTGACCCACTTCAGCGGGAAATGGGGGCATCCTGGAGACTGTGGGACAAGAGGCCCCAGGTCTAGGCCCAGCCTCCCCGGGCTCCTGGCTGTCCTCTGCGTCCGGCCCACCACTTGGGGCCAGGCCTGAGCTTTCTCGATTCCTCCCTGTCTTTAGCGGAAAACCCACGAGGCCGACACGCCCCGGTTTCTGCTTATTCATTCGTTTGTTGGGAAAACGGTATTGGGAAGCTTCTCTGTGTCAGGCGCTGGGCTCGGAGCAAGGCCACGGCTGGGACCAAGAAGGACGCACGCCCCCACCTCGCGGGGGCCGCCACCTCACAGGGCCACCGCTGGGGCAGCGACGGCGCCTGCCTCGCAGGGTGACCGGGGTGGCTAGAGGAGCTACTTATGCGCCTGCCCGTAGACATCAGCTGCGGCTGCCTGCGGTAGCACTCTGGCGGGAGGAAGGACGAAGCCGGAAACATTTACAAAAGCCGGTCCCTTTGGGCCTCGGCCCCCTGAGGGGACCATGTGTTCGACATTGACATGGGCTCCGAACTCCTCCGGGGCTCGGAGCCCGGCACCAAGCAGCCGCCCTCCCCTCTCAGCTGGGAGAGGGTGTCTCTGCCGCCCAGGTGCGTAGCTTTAAGATGTGGGGAAGGACGCGGCCTGGTCAGAGACACCCCGCCGCCACCTGCAGCCCAGACAGGGCCGGGGGAAGCCGGGGGGAAGCCGGGGGGAAGCCGGGGGGAAGCCGGGGGCGGCCACGGCTGCGTGGCCCAGGGCGGCGGGCGGGCGGCCGGCCCCATACCCACCTTCCTCACCACGAAGCTGATGTTGCGCAGCGCCGCCTGGCCGCCGCCCCTCTGCTCCTCCAGGCTGGCGACCCCCTGGGCCGCGGGGCTCGGGCTGCAGGCCTCCCGCCGCTGCGTTTTGAGAAAACGTTTTTTCTGGGTCTCCCCTTTCTTTGGGTCGCCTGTCCTGCTGGCGTCTTGCTCCCATGTCAGGGTGGCATTTGCTAAAAGCAAGGCAGTGTCTGGGCCTTCCGGCTGGGCGATGTAAGACGGGGGGCTTTGCGCTATGAGAATTTTCTAAGATTAAAGAAACAGAAGTAACTGGGTAGGCATCATCCATTTGCAAGAATCGCCCCGAGAGATCTTCTACTGACCCCAAATCACCATCTGGGCGACGGTGCCTGGGACACTCTGGGAAGACGTATGCCCCCGGGGAACCTGCGTGGAAATAGTCCGCTGGCTCGCACTGTGCAGGGTGGCGGCCCGCAGCCACCAGGCTCTGGGTCACCCTCGCGGAGCACGCTGGTCCCTGCCACATGTCACCCTCACACCCAGGACGGGCGCTCTGGCCACTCAGCCTCTGGGTAGCGGGCTTCTGGCCTGGCACTGGTGGCTATGAAACCATGGCCACTCGCCCAGTAGCCACCGTGTCCTCTTCTCTTCCTGGGTCCCCACTCCACTCAGGTCAACAAAAGGTCTGCCAGGTGCCCACTGCGCACCAGGTTTGGGGTGGACCCCAGAAATGCCAATGTGAAAGGGCACGGTCCCTGTCCTTGAAGAGAGCGCAGTCCGGGGAATGAGGGGACGGGCGCGGATCACTTCAGTGGAGTGTGGCAGGGACAACGCGGAGGAGGGACACCTGGCTCCCCATCCTGGAGGCCTGTGCAGGGTGGCCCGGGCCACGTGGGTGCAGGAGCTGGGCAGCCAGGGCGGGGCAGGGTGGTGGGGAGAGGGCTTTCCGGTGCGGGGTGCGGCGGGAGCCAAGGCAGGGAACCGCGGTGCCGCAAGCAGCCAGGGTGACCGAGGCCCAGAGCTCAGGGCGGGAAGGGGACAGGAAGGGAGGCGGAGGCGTAACTGGGGACCCACTGACGGAGGGCTCAGCCTCAGGCTGGCGGCACAAGGGCTCCGCCATTTCTAGCAGGTGAATATCAGTGGGCAGGCCAATATTGTAACAGCTCCCCGGGTGCTGAAGGCGGCCGGCAGACGGGGAGGACAATGTCGGGAGGGGACAGTGGCTCTGTAAGCCACGCGGCAGTTCAGGCGAGAGATGGTGAGGCTCTGAAGGAAGGCGGCCGCCACAGGGTCGGAGGGGAGGCTGGGGAGTCAGGAACCAGCGTGTGGCTCCGGCCTAAGGTGCCCACTGTCGCAGCTGGGACGGCCGATGTGACGACGCGTGCCTGCGCGCGCAGGCTTTGTTCAAAAAGGAAAGCGATCGTTCGAGAACACACCTCCTCATCGACCTTAGAAACGGCGCCTTTTAGAGCGGAGGGAGGCTGACGGCCGACAGGGCTCTTGCTGGGTTAGGCATGGGCAGGGGCGGTGGGGGTGTGTGGCAGAGGGACACAGACACCTGGGACCCTTACGGTGACCGCCAGGTGTCTGGCTCCAGTGACCGAGGCGCTTCGGTCGGCTCGCAGACACGGGGGCAGGCCGTCCTCCGGACCGGCACGCCCGGCCTTGCCCTGTCCCGACCGCGACTCCAGAGCCCCTTCGCCCGCCCTCCCTGTGCGTCCCTTGTTTCCCTACTGTGCGTCCCTTGTTTCCCTACTGTGCACGGCAGTTACCGGGTCACCTGGTCCCACGCGAGACCAGGGGCCCTTGAGAGCAGAGGCTCTTGCTTCCTTGCCTGTGCACGTCCCACGGTGCCTTGCGTTAGGGAAGCGCACAGGAGGTCTTGGATGAACGGACAAACAAGTGAATGAAGGGGCTGTGTAGTGGCATAAATAGGGTGCCCCTCATCACCACACTCATCACAGGACAGAGCAGACGGGGGGCGGGGGGCGGCTCCCTGAGAGCCCGCCCCGCTCCTGGGGGCAGAGTAGAGTGTCAGTGTCGTCTCCGCACACACAGGCTCCCTCTCCGCGTTCCCCCAAGGGTGGCCCCCCCGGTCCTCTCTGCCCGTCCCACCCTCACGCCTGGCTCTGCACGGGGCCCCCATGGCCCCCCAGCCAGGGCCCAGCCCCCCCCATGGGTTGACCCGGCTTCCCTGCACCTCAGAGCTTCCCCACCCCCAGATGAGTTCTCCCTGTGCTCCGCACCCCGTGCTGGTCGTACCTTCATCCTCCTGAGAGAGACACTGGCTTCGGCCGCCGCCTTGATGGAGAACGGCAGGATGGCGATGGAGAACTTCATCACGTTGAACATGGCGATCACGCTGAATGCCTGGGGTGGGGGAGGGGAGGCTCAGGGCGGCGGCGGCAGCGCCGGGCCCGACCCCGCTGGGGGCCGCGCTCCCCGGCGTGGCCGACGGTGGCGCAGCTGCGGTTCTCAGGAGAACCGTGTTTTTCATTTCGTGGCTCAGAGATTTCACTTTTGGATTTGCTCCAACGTGGTAGGAAATCTATCCCGCCCGCCCCCGCCTCTGTCGATCCGGAGAAAAGGCGGCCAGGAGGGGCTCTGACCGATGGCCGTCGGAAGCCCCCACCGATCCACACCCGTGCTGGCCCATGCCATTCACTCAAAGCCCTGCGCAGACCCTCCCGAGCCATCCCCTGCTCCCGGCCGCCCCGGCAGCAGCTGGCCCCGGAGCCTGAGGCTCCTGCCCGGCACCGCGCAGGCCCCAGGGGCGAGGGGATGCTCCTGGAAGGACCTGCTTGGCCCTGCCGGCTCTCCCGCCGCAGGGGCCGGCCTCCACCCCCACCCCTCCGCGCACCAGTTCAGGTGTGAGAGCCTTCGTTCACCTGCCCCTCCTTGCAAAGTCCCCTCCTGCCTTCGCTGGGGCCTCCCTCCCTGAGCCCGGCCCCGCGGGTGGCCGGCCTCCTCACTGGGGACTCCATCCTCTCATCCTTGTAACTAGCGGCCCTTCCCCCACCACCCGTTTAGAAGTGAACGACACAACCTCCACCTCCACCGACAAGTCCAGAGGGGCCCTGCCTGCTGCTGCGGGGGTTCCGGGGCCCCTGGCTGCCGCTCAGCCTCGCTGGTCTCGAAGGGGGTGACGGAGGTGCCCCGTTCACCGCGCCTGGGTCTAAACCCACCCCCAAGAGGGCTCAGCGCCCGTGGGGCCCACAGCATGACCTCCACCCCGGACACCCAGGCCCTGGGGGCGGAGGGCCCGGGGGAACCCAGCACCCTGGGCGGGGCTGACCTTCCCCGGCCGGGAGGGGCCCTGGCAGGGAGGCAGCCGCAGGGTTCCTGCACCTATAGAAGCAGGAGCCTGGCGTTCAGGGGATCTGCTCTTGGTCTAGGTTTCTTCTAAATCATCATTTTAGGAAATATTAACTGTGTGTGTTCCATTTGGTTTCAGATTAATCTGTTTGCAGTGTTGCTGCAGGGAAAAATTTCTTTATTTTGTTTGCGGGGGGTCACGGAGCGGTCGCAATAATGGGGCAGCGTTCTGCTCGGTGCGAGGCTGGACTCGAGGACCCTGACGGGGTGCGAGTGAACTGGCGCGCAGGCCCCCAGAAAGTACCGTCGCCTCCCGAGGAAGCTCGCGCAGTAACTGGACAGGCGGTCTCTGGGGACGGCCCCTCACCAGCGCCCTCCACTCCCCTCCTAGAATCCCAAATTCGAGTGCAACCCCGCCCTGCGAGCACCTTCGTTCCCTTTCCTTTCTCTGCTTCTCGCTTCCGCTGACTTCCCTCCAACCACTTGCCCTTCAGACAATGGGCTTTAACATTTTAGCCGTTTGTTCTTTTCCCTCTGCTGGGACCATTTTCTGTCCAGCTCAGAGTTTCCGTGCCCGTGAGTGCACAGCCCCCATCAAAACGCCGGCGCGTCTTCCGCTCCCCCGCCCCCCGGCCCCCGGCGTCCCTCTGGGCCGGCCTGGCGAGGGGCACACCTATTCGGCATTTACCGCGGGCTCCGCGCTGTCCCGGGGCCTTGCCTGAAAGGCCTCCCTCGGGCCTCACAGCCGCGGGGGGCTCTCCTCACCCCGTGGACAGATCACAGAATCACGGCAGGGGAAGTCCCGGACACCGCCCGCGCCAGGACCTCCCGCTCCGCCCACCCAGAGAACGCCCACAGGCCCCCTCGGGGTGGCGGCCGCAAATCCATGCGAATGAGACAATCCGCCTCGTGCGTCTGCAGTACGCCCAAGCCCTAGGCTCCAATGGCGTGGTGGCTGCCAGAGCCGGGGGAAGACAACGCGGAGGTGGAGGACGGGTTCCGTGAGGGCGGAGCAGCGGTGGCCGTAGGAGGGAGGGCGCATCGCGCTGCTGGTGCCCGGGGCCAGGGCTGGCCTCAGGGAGTCAGAGCCCGGCCTGGGCCCGACGTCCACGGCCTGGGGGATCCGTCGGGACCCTTTCACTGCCAGTCACAGGAAAACCAACCCACGGCGGTGAGCGCGCGCTTCACACCTGCGAGGGCGGCAGGGAGGACGACAAAGACGACCACGGGAATGGAAGTGCGGGGGACAGCGCTGAGACACGGGACCGTGGCAGGGCGAGGCCCGCGGGGACCTAGAACAGCGCGGCTGCTGTGGGAGGCAGGCCGGCCCTTGCTCGTTGGGTCTCCACTGTGTTTTCCCAACGTGAGATGCGAGAGGCGTTCCGGCGGCCCCTGCGGCCCCTGAGACCCCGCCGCCGACCAGGGAGGCGCGGGAGGCTCCCCGGCCCCAGGCACTCGCGTGCGGGCGCCTGGGTGCTGCCGTTGCAGCCTGGCCCACCGAGAGCACAGGCGAAGGCGCGGAGGGGCCGCGCACGGGGCGCCGGCTGGAGCCGGGAGCGCGAGGCCAGTGGGCGAGGGGCTCTTACCACGGCAGCGGTGAGCCGGTGGCCCAGCAGCACGTGGCCGGTGAACGTCAGCACAATGGCCATGGTGGACGCGATGGGGGCCAGGGCCGAGTTCCCGCTCTGGACGAGCCCAGCTTTTTCCAGCAACTTCCGCTCCCGCTGCCTTATATCTGCCACACAGAAAACGGGCGGGGGAGGGGGCGTTATTTTGCATGCCGGGCACCTGCCAGATCCTCCCGCCAACGTGCGGAGGATTCCTGCTGCGAGGTTTGAGCGGCAGGAAGAGAGCCGCGGGCACAACGCCAGCCCCGCGGGGAGCTCAGGGCCAGTCGGCTGCCGGCTGGGAGGCGTCCAAGGGCCCCTCCGATCCTTGTTCTCTGTGTGTCAGGAGCCAATACTCCGATGCCTTCAGGACCAGGCAGGTAAAGGTGACCAAGGGGCTGGGCAGAGAGTAAGGCCAGAGGGAGCGTGCAGACGGAGCCCAGTGGATGTTGGGAGGAAGGAGGACGGCGGAGGTCGCACCTGCCCGTCCCTGCCAGGGTCCAGGAGAGGACTTTGGCTTGGACTGGGGGGGAGTGAACTGAAGAGAAGCAGACAGATCCCAGAAACGTTCTGGAGAGAAAGCCACCGAGCTCACAGCTATTTTTGAGCCGGATGAGCTCATCCGTCCTTAACCTTACAAGCAGGCACCCTTTTACCAATTGCTCGGTGCCTCTCATGGCCTTGCACACGGCAACAGCATGGTAACCATTTACTGACTCCATCTGACCCACGTTAAATTGAATCAAGTCAAATGGAAGCAAATTTATCCCCATCGAATCAATTGTATTGAAGTGAATTCAATGGGCGAGGAGGTATTGCTGGATCCTGAAGGAGGGTCCCCGGGGGGGCGGCCAGCGCCCCCGCCTGGGGCCCTCCCTCTGTCCAGCTCAGAAGCCGGGTCCCTGAAGCCACTCCCTGAAATGCAGACCCCCCCGCTCCAGGCCCGATTACACGCTGGTCGGGAAGTATAATTGTAGACCTGGGGAGTCGATTGTAGCAGTGGTTCAGATCATTAACCGGCCAAGCACCTGAGTCTCTGTCAGCAATTATGTAAATATTCCTGCAATTAGATTTGCATTTATATTTGATCACAATGGTTTTCATATCCCCTTTAAAAGGGGAGCTATAGATGCGTGCTCCTGTCTGCGCCCCGAACGTCAAGCCCGGGGCCGCCCGATGAGGACGAGGCCCCTGAAGGCAGGGAGGGGCCTTACGTGGAAGTGGGGGGTGTGCGCGCACACACGTGTCGACATCCAAGTCAAGGGAGTAGCTGGAGACAGCTCTCCGTCGGCGCACAGTGTTGACTGGGCTATTTTTGTAGAAGGCAACTCTCCGGTCAGTGCCGGTGTCCATATGCCCCGGTAAAGGCTAAACCATATGGTGCTCGCCTGCTGAGCCCCTGGTTCACCGGAACAGATGCCTGTTTCTCTTGTACAACCTTCCTCATCCTTTGAAAAGCCTGCAGGACCGCTCAGGGGGCCCCCGTAGCCCCCTTCTGCACCGCCTGACCCCCGGAGCCTTAAGAGCCCCTTGAAGAGCCATTCTACCAGGTACGCACTCCCGTGCGCAGCCGCACCGCCTACCTCGGACGGTCTTGGTGAAGGGCTTCTCCCAGGCGTACATTTTAATCAGCTTGATGCAGGTCACAAGCTCACTCATTGTCTGAACCCGCTTGTCTGTCACCGAAATTGCCGCTCGTCGGAAAGCCGAATTGAGCTTCGCCATAACCACCTGAAATCAAGGGGCAAGCCCTGTGCTGGGGGACCGGCGCTGGGCTGCTGGCGCCTGAAAGCCCAGGGCGGGGCGGGGGCAGGCGGGGCCCCCGGGCGGGGGGGCGTGGGATTCTCGGCCGATCCCTTCCCTCGCGCGGTGGCAGCCAGGGTGGGCTGGGGGGCACCAGGGATGGGGCCGGCGATGGAAACACACGGGTCCCACGGTGCAAAGATAGTGTCGGGGACTTAGACCAACGGGGACGCACGCCTCGGCCCCTCCCCGGGGCACTCCAACTCAAGTTTCTTTAAAAACTACACGGTTCCTGGGAAACGGGGCACATCGGTGAGCCCCCAGCAGGGTCCACGCCCCAGAAACCAAGCCTCCCCTCCAATCCAGGGACCGCGTGCGTGAGACGCAAGCGTGCAGCGGCCGCGGCTGCCCAGGCCGGCCAGTACCTGGATGGGGACGAACGTGATGTGCACAGATATCCCGATGAGAGCCGTGGGACCCAGGATGAAAAAGGAGTACACCGCACACACAGCCATGAGGATGGGGATGGTGGCTGGCAGGGGACAAAACAAGGCAGCTTCAAACAGGGAATAGCTATCGCTCGATAGTATATTGAGCACCTGGGGAGAAAGCACAGGGGTTCAGGCTGGGGGCGGATCGGCCGGGCGGGTTCTCGGCTGAAGGCACTCGCGGTGGCCGAGGGGGGCACGGGGGTCCTCCGGGGACCGGCACGGAGAGTTCTGTGGGCCGCGTCTGGGTCTGACTTGGAAGCGGTCAATCTTTGAGGACGGAGAGGGCTAACGAAGAAAGACAGAGGGGGCTGTTACCACAGGGCAGCCTGACCCCTCCTTGTTGGCACACCTTTGCCGGAAGGAGCATTTCCCAGCCTCCGCCGGGGAAGGGGAAAGGCCACGGGGCTGCGTGAAGGGCAACAAGATAGAAGCCAAAGAGTCCTATGGCACTTTGGAAATGAAAGCGAACCAGCTCAGCTTAGAGGACACAGCCTTCTGGCTCTTCCCTCCTTCCTCCTACCAGCTACCTGAGACACGGTAGGGTGGCTGGATCTCCAGAGCCCACCTTGAACGCTCTGGGAGCCGTGTGCTAGCATAAGGGGAAGAACAATAGAAAGATCCAGAAGTCCCCATACTGGCCCTGGATGGACCCCTTCTGGGTTCTTTTTAGACAGAAGGAAAGAAATTCATTTTGTGAATCCATCATTTTCTGTTCTCGGCGGCTGATTCTAATCTTAATTGACGCAGGATGCCTTGAACATACGTCGCACCATCTGGGGTTCCCTCGGCTAGGGGGGGTTTCCTGTGTGCGTGGCGAGGGTTTCGTTGCCAAGGACTAAGAGCTGCAGCAAACGTCGCCTCCGAGGTCCAGCAGGTGTGGGGTCTACTCTGGCTTCGGACCCCACACACAACCCAAATGGCATCCCCGGACCTGCAGGTCACTCCGTCCTATCACATGACTACGGTGCGCTCCATGCCGCCCCCGTGTCCTCACTGACAGTCAGAGGGAGGGGGGAGGTCGCCCCAAAGCCCAGCTGGGACGCGGGGCCTTCCCAAATCCTCCGGCTTGAACGGAGCGCTTTGAGTCTCCACCACCTCCCTCCGCCCGGAAATGGGACCAAACAGGCGGGACATCGACAAACCACAGGCGGGCAGACGCTCCCTCCAGGAAGCGCTTCGCACACGGTCAGAAAACGCGGCTCTTGGTTTTCCAAGTCAGGCGCCTCCGGACCCGCCTACCTCGCCCACTGAGACATGTGTCAGCATCTTGAAGGACATGAGGTGCTCGAAAACCAGGGTGGAGACAGCCACCTTCAGCCGGATCGCCGTGCGGTAATTGATGGCCCAGGCAAGGGCCCAGAAGAGGACTTTGGTGAACTCGGTGGCAAAGAGGGCTACGCACAGGCCAACGCCCACCCAGACGTCCCCGGCGGCGCTCTCGGTCTGCCAGAGGATTTGGTGAATGAGAACCGTCTGGAAAACAGCGCGGCGGGGAGAGGAGAGGGCCGCTGGGGCTGGGGGTCGGGCCGGGAGGCCTCTGATAATGTCAGCGAGCCAACTTCATGAGGCAAACTTTTTAATTAATTTCAGGGGCTGCCGCTGTGCTCAGCAAGGATTCGCTTTATGAAAATTCGCCCCCGAGGAGCTCGGGGATAATGACAATGCACTAAACCCACCGGCTCGTAGAGAAAGTAACTAATGACATTCTGTGCCCGTCTGGGGGCCTGGGAGGCCGGGCGGGAGCCGGGCGGGAGCCGGTCCGCCCCACTCACCGGCCCGATGGCGGCCATGACGATGCACAGGATGTTGGCCACTATGTCCACCCACACGCGGGTCCTCTGGAACCTCCAGACCACTCGGCCCAGAGAGGCTTTCTCAGGACCCTCTCTTTCCACCTCTTCCTCCCACAGCATTCGAAATCTGTGAGGAAAGAGGAGGAAGAAAAAAGGACTTACGTTTCCACTTGCTGCTTGAAGCCGCTCCGGGGGGACAAACCTGGCTAGGGCGTTTCACACACCCCTCGGCCTGGCCGAGGTGGCTTCCACCGAGCAGCGTGGACTCCCCGTCTCCCCTCCCAGGGGGCAGGGGACGGCAGGCGCAGGAGGACAGCCTGGACTGGCGCCCACGCTGGCGCCTGGCATCGGGGCCCTGCCCGTGCTTCCGTTTCCCGTGCCTGTGGCCTGCCTCCGGCGCGACAGCGGTTCTGATCGGAGGCAGAGGCGGCAGAGGCATCAAGAGAAAAACCTCCTCCCGGGTGGGAGGAGTGTGTCCGTGTCAAAGATGAGAGAGAAGGGCAGTGTGACAGGCAGGTGGAGAGCAAAGAAGGGCTGACGCGCCAGCGCTCACGGGAGCGGTTACATTTCACTCCCGACGCCGAGGAAGCCATTGAAGGCTTTCCAGCCAACTTGCTACGATGATGCTACATATTTAAAAACAAACGTTCTGGCTGCTGTGAGATCGTGGATTATGGGGGAGGCAGAGGTAAACACGGAGACCACAGGAGGGAACTCAAACTCGGCGTCCAGGTGAGACGCAGCCTGGCGCTGGGCACGAGGACAATGGAATTAAGGAGAGACGGATGGAGAGACGGCAGGACCTGCTGATGAGTTAGATCTATGCCCAAAGGGAAGAGGGGCCCAGGACCCCGGGCGTCTGGCTTGGCCAACTTGCAGAGAGGGGCAAGGAGGAAGGCGGGGAGGTTTCATCAGGTGGGGCCGAGGACCGACAACGCAGCCCCGGACAGAGGACGCTTTAGCTGTGAGAGGCCCGGCCGCTGCTCAGCTGGACGCTGGGCATCCAAATCAGAGTCCGGAAGAGAAGCGCGGGCTGAGGGCGGCATGTGCTGAAGGCCGTCAGCTGCATTTGGTGTCCAAGCCTCCGGAGCAGACCTACCACCCAGGAACAGAACACGGCCCCCAACGCAAGGGGGTCTGGGCTGCTGTTGGGAACGTGGAAGGAGACGTTGAAGGCGGAGACGTGCTGGCCAGAGAGGTAGGAAACCCCCGCAAGAACCCGGGTCCAGCTCCCTTTCTTTCTGCATCCCTGGCAACTTCCCCCAGGCCGTAGGCTTGGAAACTCCTGCAGACGGAGCTTCCTGCAGGGCAGGAGCGAGGGGACACAGGGCCACAGCGGCAGGAGCCCTCGGCGCGCGCTCCAGGCTGCACCTTGCACGTCGCCCCTGTGGCCAAAGGGACAGCGGCTTCCAGGAGACTCCAAGGCAGAGAGAGGGCTGTGAGAACTTCCCCACTGTTTAAGACGTTGTGGTCCATCCCGAACCTCAAAGTTTAATGCAGCTGTTAGAGAGCATGCGCTGACATCGAAAAAACCGTATGAACTCTTAACTGAAAATAGCAAAATGGTTAACCAACATATGAGTGTGCTTCGCCTTGTTGCAATGACGACAACAACAACAAACATGACCGTGAGTGGGAGGAGGAAAGAAAGACCTGATCTGCAGAAGACGGTGGCAGATCCGCGCCCACGCTGAACCAGGCTCGCGGGCGGGCGCGGGCACGGGTGGGGCAGGCGCGGGGCACCTCCACCGCCGAACATTCTGCAGCTTCTCCCTTTCTATAATGGCCATGAACTGGGTCAAACCAATGAAACGGACGTTTTGACAAGACAAAATTGTCCAGTACTGGCAGCTTCGCTGCGTTCAACCTAAACCTATTTTGTGATAGAAAAGTCCACCCACGATATTTAAAGGGAAACACAATGTGGTGCGTGGAGCTGTGGGCAACATTCCCACGGAGGGGGGGTCTGCCTGGCACAGAGCAACACGCAATTCCGGACGCTCTCATCCTGCGGTTGTACGTCTACAAACCAACGCACACCTCGGTCCCACGGCCCTGAGCCTCCAGCTGTAGCCCCAGGCAGTCCCTTGTCCCCACCAACCCCACCCAGGCCTCACTTCCCCAGAGACTGGCCCAGTCAGCCCTGTCCACATCTCAGGCTCTGAGAAAGGCCACCAGGACCCATGGGTGTCAATTCCACGCTCAAATAATGGGCACGCACTAAAGGGCTCACAGTCCCCTTCCCGGGGTGGGATCCTCTCCAAGGGCGACCCAAAGGCATCCTGGTACCTTTTGGCGTTGGTGTCGGATGCGTCGTACGGGGACAGCGGGGGCAGGGTGTCCGCCGTCAGCGTGCGCTTGTAACCGCTCACCATCACTGGTGTGAGCCAGGAGAACGTGGCAAAGGAGAGCAGTCCCGCGTCATCCACGGGGTTGGGCGCCCGCCTAGGACAAACGAGGCACGCGGGGTTCCAGGGCGCCGGGGTCGTCCACTTGGCTACAGGAGCGACCACAGCCAAGCTCAGAAGCCGTGACTCGCACCCGGCAGCGCTTTGAGCAGCGGCGTGATCGGGCCAGCTCGTGCGGCTCGGGAGAGCCAGTGGCGAAGTGGTCAGGGACTCTGTGAGTCGGTTGGTAGACACAGGCAATATCAAAAATTAAATGATGAATGGGAATAAGTTATCTTAAGGACAGAGGCAATGAGTACTTGAAATTCATCACTTCCTGGTTATTTTTTAGATCTCAGGAGTATGTAATCTCTTCAGATTACGTAAATCTATTGTGTGCATGTGGAGCCACCACCGCATATAAGTGGGTGCTGCTGAGCATCTCCTTAAATATTAGCTATTGTCTCCCGCGCACCCAAGGAGAGGAGGGGTCAAGGAATGAGGGGGTCTTTCAATGAATAATGGTGGATGGATGATGGATGGATGGGTGGGTAGATGGATAGATGATGGATGGATGGGTGGATGGGTAGATGGATGGGAGGGTGGATGGATGATGTATGGATGGGTGGATGGGTGAATGGATAGATGGGAGGGTGGATAGGTGGATGGATGATGGGTGGATGGATGATGGATGGATGGACGATGGATGGGTGGATGATGGATGATGGGATGGATGGTGGATGATGGATGGATGGATGGATGGATAGATGGATGGAAAGACAAAGGGACAGGCATGTAGAGGACAGTATGGGGAACAGGGGCTGCACCCACTCTTCTGATGGACCACAAACCACTCCTGGAAGCTCTGGCCAGGCCTCCCCCTACCCCCCCAGCTTACTTTGCGTGGGGCCTCACTGGGATCAGGGTTCTCAGGCTGGGGTCGTATCTCTCTGCAAAGGATCTGCGGTGGCCTCGCCGGTCCAGATCAGAGATGAGGTAGGGGCCCTCCCCCACCATCATGATGGCGGTCTGGAGCCCTGGGCTCGCGGTCCAGGGACACTGTCACTCTGCCGCAGAGAGATGAGGAGTCTCACTGGGAGCCGCGGGCCCTCTCACAAGGCCGCCGCGCAGGGCCCGGCACGTGCGGATGGGCTCCCCTGGCCCCCACTTCCGTGGCCACTGCCCCCGAGGAAGACCAGAGTCCAGGTGGGAGGGCACCTCAGAGTGCCCGTCCCGCCCACACACCCAGCACCCCGCTTCCCAGGTGCCTAAGCCCGAGACCAGAGCCCCGGCCTGGAGCGGTCCTGGCCCAGGCCGTCCCCGAGGTCCCCTGCAATCAGAGGCCTCTCCATTATACGTGGCAGCGAATTCTCCCCGGAAGTTTTCATGGCCAGAAACATCAAATAAACCCAACCCCATTGTTTCAAAATAAAAAAATTAAACCTTTTCTAAAGAAGTGGCCCTCAAGGGCATGACTCGTTTTCCGACGGGACTGAGTGTGACGTCCCCCCGGCCGCTCTGCCCGGAGGGGCGTCTGCACCTGCTTTCCAGGCACCGTGTCCCCTCTCCCCAGTGGCCCGTGTGAGGGTCCTCTCATGTCCAGCCAAACGTCCCCAGACCCTGCGGCTCCATCCTTCCAAGGGCTGGGCCTCCCCGTCCTTGGAGGACGCTCCCCGGTGGCCTCTGTGATTCCCCCTCGCTTTTCTAATGACCGTGTCTCCCGGCCGCAAGCCGCCATCCGCTTGCCCCAAGGTCCCCGGTGCAGGAGACAGGAGTCCCTGGCTGCTCCAGGGACTCAGAGGGCCCGGGCAGCTGGCGTGGGAGGTGATTTCCTTGAGCACGCCCGGGGGAGGACCGGTGACTCCTCCCGCCCCCCGCCGGTGGCCGAGAAGCGCGGCCGCGGGAATGGTGCTGTGCTATATCTGGCCTTCCCGGGGGAACGAGGCTTTGTAAATCAGGACCTCCGCTTTGGCGGACGTCTCTATCCCTGTGTGTCATGCCCTCCTCTGCCAGGAGTGGGTTGCTGCCCAGAGGGACAGGCCTGCTCACAGGCCCTAGGGGGGCGGGGAGGGGGCTGCCGGCGGATCTGCGGGGAGGGGGGCCCAACCAGGCCAGGACACGGGCTCTGCGACTCTGGTCCACTCGGGGCACCTGAGGGTTGGGGGGGTGGGCGCAGGTCCCCCCCCAACCCTGTTCATCCTCCTGCTTGCTGGGGGGCATCCGAACCTGGTGTTAATAGTGGGACAAGGTCTGGGTTTAAAGCAGAGGACACAGACTGGTCAATTCCGGACCACACTCAGTGTGCAGGCCCATTTTCTTTGGGCTGCACTGTTGGGGGTTTTTTGCTTCATTTTAATTCTCACCTGAGAACATGTTCATTGATTTTTTTTTAGAGAGAGGGGAAGAGAAACATTGATGTGAGAGAGAAACATCGATCCATTGCCCCCCATAAGTGCCCCTTCCAGGGACCAAACCTGCACCCCAGGCGTGTGCCCTGACCAGGGATTGAACCCAGGACCTTCTGGTGCACAGGACGCCGCCCGACCCCCTGAGCTCCTCTGCCAGGGCACGCACAGCGTTTTCAGTTTTTTGAATTTGAATGAGGAGACCCCACAGTAAGAACACAAAGCCCGTTGCTGCGCCAGCTCGTCCAGAGCCCTGTGCGCCCAGCGGCCGCTCATGCAGGGCACAGCCAGGCCCTCTGAGGCGGGACGCGCAGGCTGTGGTCTGCCACAGCCCCCACCGTCCCCCGTGTCCGGTGCTGGGGCTCTGGCGCCCTGCCCTCTAGCCCCGCCTTCGCACTGCTGTCTTCCTCACAGCGGATCCGTTTCCTTGAGGAAGGACGACAGATACCCAGAGGGCATTTCAAGAAGAAGCCCTTCCCACTTGGCCCGGTGGCGTTCGGTCTTTGCCTCTCTAACCCAGCAAACGAGCAAGAGCACTATCTCGTTGCAGAACTGGACTCCGACTTTTCCCGGGGCCCACAGCGGAAGCCCTTCCGTGGGGCTCCCCCGCACCAGCCAGGTGACTAAAGGTGCACTTTGTTCAGAAAGCCCTCCGGCTCCTTGCTTGTACGTCCCTTCTTCACGAAAGCCACCCCCACGACCAACATCTGGCGACCTGACGCCCTGCCCCAGCTCTTGCTGCTGCTCCCTTCAGGCCCTGACCCGCCTCCGGCTCAGAGGAGAAGCCACAGGAAGGCTTCCTCAGCCCCTGCCCCTCGCCTCTCCCACCGGTCCTCCCAGCTGCCCCCAGCGCCCGCGTGGGCGGCCGGACCGGGAGCAGGTCCTGTGAGCGCCCGCCGCTGGCGTGGGAGAGGGTGCGGGGCCGCCAGTGTGGGTGTGAGGACTCAGAGCCTGGGGGGCAGAATGGGGAGGGCTTTGCTAAAGTGCTCTCATCCCCAGAAGCCCCAAATGGTGACTGTGGCCGGTGACTGTCTCCGGTGACTGCGGCCATATCGCCAAATGAGGCCACCCGCTCAGTTAGAGAGGCTCGGACAAGAGGGGAGAAAGACGAGGTCTCCTGTTTCAGACCCGCGCGAGCCACATGAATTCAAGGCCTTTAAAAATAAATCCTGTGATTAAATTGTGTGTGTGAGAGAGAGAGAGAGAGAGAGGAGGCTTCGTTTAGTCAACGCAGGCCTTTGTGCGTCTCAGGTTTGGAAAGCCGGTCCTGATGCCGCTACTTTTTCCTTTACGGAGGTGCCCCAGGCCACCCCCTCCCCGTGCACTGAGAGGTCCCCGGCCCTGCTTCCTCCCCCAGGGCAGCCACGTTCAGTGCTGGAGCGTGTCACTCAGCTCAGCCTGTCCCGGGGTGAGCGGTGAGCGGCAAGGCCCCCTGGACTGCCGGGTGCTGGCGGCTGCAGAGAGGAGCTTTACCTGAGCAGGAAACACTAGTGCCCTGGCCGAGAGGGAGAGGAGGAGGCGTCGGAAGGTGCGGGGCTCCGGGGGTGCCGGCGGCCGCTCTGCGCGGCCCCAGGTGCCGCCGGCCTCGCCCCACCTGCCCAGAGCTCTCCTGCCCAACCGCCCTGTTCAACTGCCGCTGCCCCCGCCCCGCCCCCTGCGCCTGGGGAGGGAACTCTGGGGGACCAACATTCCTTCCGCCCGCAGGGAAGGGCTCTGCCCCCTCTGGGGGGGGGGGGCTAGGGGAATGTCACCCCCGCCCCAGCCTGCCGCAGCCCGGCGTGTGTAAGAGGACAGGAAGACCCTCCCGTAGTCCCCATTCTACCCATGCGGGGACCAAGAGACAGAGGCTTCCCGCCACAGGCCTGGGGCCCGTGACAGGCTCAGGCCAGCAGCCCACGGCCCTGCTCCCAGAAGGCGCGCGTCCCCGCCCTGGGTCCCGGCAAAGGGAGCAGTTCTGTGGTCTGGGAAGGGAGGAGAAGCCATCTTCCAGGCGGGTTCGTGCGTTCGTTCCCCATTCACTGAACCAAAAATAAATGGCCATTTGAGCTCAATATTTTTTTGTAAACAAACAAACATCGGGGACTGGTGCTAACAGCCAACTCTGCAGTATGAAATGGTCCCGGGTATCTCATTTCAAGCATTCCAAACTCCGGAGCGCGGGCCTCTCCCGATGCTGCGCGTCCCTGGACAGGCCCAGGCGCGGCGCCTCACTCGGATGCGAGCCCCGGCTCGGAGGGGCCGACGGAGTCACGGTGGCCAGCGAGCGGCTGGAAGGGAGCAAGGCCTCCAGATTCAGATGCAACACATCTGGACTTACTTGAAAGAGTTATTCAAACACCTGAGAAGACGTGTTCACCTGACTCCCGTGGATTTTATGACAGATTTTGCTGTAGTATTTTAAGCCTGCCTAAGCCCTCTCTCTACTCATAACCTGATCGCTCCCTCCCCCTGCTGGCTGCTTCTGGGGACAAAATTCACAGAGGAGGAGGTGCTGTCCCAAGAGGATACTTCTCTTCCTGCCCAAATAGAGGTGGGGACCAGGGAGGCCTGGGAACAGCAGCCTTACAGGAGACAGATCCCGAGGGGACGGTCTGGAGATCTCTTTGTCTTTCTAGTGTGCTCTCAGAATGGCGTTTCTAATGTGTCCAATGAAATACCAAGGCTGGCAAAGAAAACCAATTATACTAAAACAGGGTCACCGAAATTCGCATTAAAAAACAAAATTGAATATGGTAACATATGCTTCTATATCGTTGCATCGATAACGTGATCTAGCAGTAAGCGGTTATTAGACTTAATAGCCACTATCAGTTCACAGCAGCGAGGCCCATAAATGATCGTTTGGGAGATCTGAAACAGTGGAAATGAGATCTGAGAGTGTCTGTGATTTTGGTTGGGGACAAAGTCACCGGCACCGCTAATGCTAGCATAGTCTGCCGCCTCGTTCATACTGAACGGGAAGGCTGAATCTCAGCGAGTCAAAAGGAAGACGTCATCTCTTTCCATCTAAATCCACGGCTCCCCTGGGCCTGGCTGAGGCACCCGTGGGCCACAGGCTCGGCGCGTCCAGATTGACCATCTCCGAAGTTGCTTCTGACTCCAGCGCAGCCGGATTCCATGGCATTATTCAATGAGACGGGGACAGGCTAGGATAATGGGGCGAGATTTTATTGTCTTAACAGCTGGCACCAGGGCATATCAGAGGGTGAAACTGTTGGTTTAGAGAGAGCGGCCTTGGTGTGTCTGTGGCGGTGGACAATGGGACCCTGAGGATTTTTTGGCAAGAAGAGGAACCCAGCATGAGAGAGGAGCTGCCCTGCCCCACACAGGCCCAGGAACAGGGAGGTGGGGCCGGGCCCGGAGGGGGCTGGGGCCCAGGGAGGCTGAGACAGGGAGTCTCCTTAAGAAGGTGGGTGCTCATTAGTGGAGTGGCAGTTGTTGAATTGCTGGAGTAGAAACCCGTCCTTCGGTCCAAAACTTCACTGAGGCCATTGACATGTAAAAAAATCATCATAATAAGGAAATTCTCCTTCCAGGTCATTGTGATGGAGAACTCATGAGTTTTATGGCTTAGCTAGGCCCAGGGCCTCTGAACCAAAACAGGTCACAAAATTAAAAGTGCCCTAAAAGTCCTCGGACACTCAGGGGATGGCGTTAGAACCGGGTCCGAACCCTTCCCTTCTAGGTCACGTGGGACAGAGCCGTCCTGGCTCATCTCGGGGTTCTCAGAGCGTGGACCCCCGATCAGCAGCACCAGAGACAGCTGGAAAGCTGTTAGAAAGACGCGTTCTCCAGCCCTGCGCCAGGCCCGCGGAGTCCGAAGAAGCGCGGGGGTGGAGCCACGCGAGCCCCGCCCCCCGGGCCGCTCCGACCGAGGGCGTCCAGTTCCAGGGCCCCGCCCGCAGGCGCCATCACTCCGGAACGGCGCCCTGGGTCCTCTCCGCCCTGGAAGTCACCGGGTCCCATCTCCCTCCCGTGCAGACTTCCAGCGCCCGGGGCCCGGCCTTGGGGCGCCCCCTGCCCCCCAGGCAGCCATTCCCTGGGAGCCATTTCTAGACGAGGCCTTTCAGGGAAGCGGAGACCGGATCTGCGCCCTTCCTCTCCCTTCCTGGCCCCTTTCGCAGCGCGGCTTCCAGGCCCGGGCTGGCTGTCCTTCGAAGAGCCTCCATTTACCAGAGTTTCTCCTCAAAGACAGTGTCCCGAGGGGGGCGCAGAGGGCGGGGCGGGGCGAGGCAGTGACAGTGCCGCCCACTGTCACGGGGGGCGCGTCACAGAGCTGGTGCTGAAAGTGGACCACGCAGGGAGGAGCCCCCGGGGACAGAGGAAGGACGCAAAACCCCTGGCCTTTTCCCCTGCCCCGCCCCCGGCCAGGGCGCAACTGAAAATGCCAGTTGAGAGCAAACGAGTAAATACAAGTGAGGAAGTAGAACCAAGTTCTACGTTCTCTCATCACACTTATTTTTTAAATATCAATTTTTTAAATGGCATTACAAAAAAATAGTGCTGGTGCCCCCAAATAGGTGAAGAATTCTTCAAAGCCAACAAACTCCTCTATCTCATCACTCAGATTAAGAAGATATTGCCAAGGCTGTTAAAAAATATGCTATTTTTTTTAAAGCTTCGTTTTTATTGCTGCTGGAAGTCGAGGGTTCCCGAGCTCCGCCACCGCACATCAGACCCCCTAAGGCACCCAGAGCTCAGCCTCCACCGCGAGCCAGTGAGATGAGACCTTCTGGGGGTGGGCACCAGTATTTTAAAAAATCGGCGTGACTCCAATGTGCAGCCTGGGTTGTGAGCCATTCTGGGGAGAGAGGCTGCTGGAGGGGAGGTGGGATGGGGCCCTGGGGATGAAGTGGACAGAGTTCCCGTCCTCTAACTCGGGGTCAGCCCTTGCCCCACGTGGATTTCAGCGTCTATGGATTTTTGGGAAGAGCCTGCCATCTGCTGGCCACTGTGAGGAACACATGCATGCTGAGCACTTTCTCACAGGGCAGCTCTTGGAGGGGACAGGTCCGGTGAGCAGAGTCACCTCCACGCCAACCAGCAGACCCTGCAGGGTTGGGATGAGATGGGAGCAGGAAGGGCCCCCAGGTACGCTTCAGGGCCCAGGAAGAAAAGGCAAGAACTGAGGAGAAGGGGGTCCACTAGGGCAAAGGGGCTTTTAACAGAGAGAAGACCGTTGCCCAGGAACTACCCTGGGAAGACACGCCCCGGTGCTGCCTAGGAAGCCCCGGCAGGGACAAAAGCGAGGGACGCCTGTCACTAAGCAGGAGGGGTGCATCATAGTTCATCCCCGCGGGGATTCATTTGCTGTTCTCTGCCTGGAGCCCCGTCTTTCCCGCCCCAATCCCTTGCGTCGGAGCCAAAGTTTATTTTTCAGATTTCAGTAAGCCGCAGCCTCCCTTCCACCAGGAAGCCTGCCCTGACTGCCCTCACCACCTGTCCCTTGGTTCTGTTTATTTGTTCCCTGTTTACGCACGAAGGCAAATTCCACGAGGGCAAATTCCACGAGGGTGGGGCCATCATTGCGCCCCCAGCCCTTCCCCCCAGTGCAATAAACAGGGTAGGAAATATTTGTTGACTCAATTGCTGTTTCTCCTGGCAAAATCAGACCCTGTAATCTGAAAACAAATGAAACAAAGATACTTTGAAATGTATTTCCCCACAACAAGGAGGTGTCCCTGCAAGTAAATTGGAAATAATTACCTTTTTCTTTATCTATGTATAACCACTGTGGGAGGGGACAGCAAGTGGTCTTATTTACAGTTGTCATTTGTGACAAATTAACTCTTTATTCGACCCATCTGGCCGCAACCAGTAAACAAACACAAGGCAGGCAGCTGGGGCCCCGGGCTTGCTCAGCCTCTGTACCCACGCTCCTTCCTGATGTAGCAGCACCCCGACTTTGTTTTGGAAAAACAACCCCTTCCATTCTCAGCTTCTGTGTTTTGGAGCAGCTGAGCCCACCCCCAGGCCCAGGTGTGAGCATGTCACATTGCATTGCAACAGCCTAGCACGGGATTGGTTCAGGGATGAGCACGTGACCCGAATCAGCCCAGTGAGAGTTTGCCCTGGAGCTTGTGCTGGACTCACTGGAGATTCCAGATCCCGGGGTGCTGGGCTGGCGGGATAAGAACCCAGAGCTGCTGGCAGCCATTCTGCCACCATGAGGAGGGTGGTGGCCAGAGGGTGAAGCCAAACAAAGGAGAGCAGAGCTGAGAGAAGGAGGGAAGCAGCGTCTGCAAGTTGGGCATCCTTCTCCTGGACCTTTCCGACACCTGAGCCAATCAAGCTCCCTTTCCCAGGAGGCAGCGTAAGGGAGTTTCTGTTCCCAGCAGCTGAAGGAATATTAACTCGCATACAAAGCAGGACAGAGATGAGACTTTTTTTTAACAAAATTAATACATCATTTGTAACACTCTTCACACAGATCAGAAAAATATAATAAGCTTTTACGTTACGATGCAATTACTCAACACATCAGTTAAAAAGGGACGCATGATCATTTGACCCCAGGGTCTCAAAGGAGGCTGGGGTTCTCAGGTTTGCAGAGCGACGGAGCGGCTCACCAGCTTTTGCTCCCTCAGTCTCCATCCCTCCCCAGCGCCCCTCGGGCCACGTCAGCCTGGCTTTCAGGAGAAATCTCTGTGGCCCCTGCACCTGAAGGTCGCAGCCTGCCGGTCTCTCATCCACGTGCCTGGAGGACCTCACGGATGAGCTGGGTCCCCAGTCCCCGCGTCTCCTTAGCTCAACGAACCGGCCTTTGCCAGCAGGGCGGCGAACATGGACTTAAGCTCCCTCTGCAGGACCACAGGGCTGTCGAACTCCGCCACCTGGGAGTGGAGAAAGGAAGGGACAGGGACCCGCAGAGCTCTGACTGGAAGCATCGAGGACCCCCCAGGCACTGGCCTGCACCCCTGTCCGCCCCTAGACCGGGCGCTGCCCGCCCCTTCCCGTGGTCCATGGCCAGGATGAGGCCGCAGTTGAGGACGGCAGTGATGCGGTGGGCGATGACCAGCACCGTGCAGCCCTGGAAGGCCTCACAGACCGTCTGCTGCACCAGGGCACCCGTCTCCACACCGATCAGGCTGTGGCTTCATCAGTGAGGATGATCTGGCAACAGACAGGGCTGGGGGCGGCCACCTTGGGCCCCGAGACCTGCCTCTAGCCCTGGGTTGGCCCCTAATTCGCCGAGACTCTTAGCTGCAAAGCGAGAGCTTGGGACTGAGTTCAAAATCCACTTGGAGCTCTTGTTACTGGTTACGTTATGAAGACACTATTAGGTCTCCACCAAGAGCTAACTCTTTTCTAGTGACCAGAAAATTAAAATCTTTTTTTCTATGTATTGATTCGAGAGAGAGAGACAGAGAGAGACATCGATTTGTTGTTCCACCTTTTCCTGCACGCATCGGTTGGTTCCTATATGTGCCCTGACCGGGGATGGAACCCGCAACCTTGGCCTATCGGAATGACGCTCTAACCAGCTGAGCTACCCGGCCAGGGCAAGAATGAAATTCTTGAGAACGTCCCAGCGGCACTTCTAGTTTTGTGAACTGCCTTCCTGTTTGCGGAACAAACGGAGAGCGACCCTCTGCACGGCAGGGCCGGCGCACGGCGTGGGGGGGAGAAGGGGGCTCGCCAGCTGATACAGCCGGTCTGTGCACTGGCGTTCTCAGTACTTGAGCGTTTTTCTGTTTGTTTCATTAACAACATGCAGTAGGGAAACACAACTAGCACAAAGGAGGATTTCATGAGTGTTACTGCTTATGATGAGACCATTCTTAAAAAGAGGGCTTCACGAGTAACTCCAAGGACACGCAGACGTGACAGAAGTCAGGGGGACACATATGTGCGTGTGCGTGTGTGTGTTGCTTTGCTTGCGAGAGAAAGCTTGCTGCCAGTGAGCGCAGGCAGGCAAACACCTGAAAATACCAGGGAAACTATTTGGGAATCTTCAAGAAACACCATCAGATGAAAGTTTTCAAACCTGTATAACTTTGCCCTGGAAGGACAGAACTGAGTCTCAGTGCTAATACAGACAAGGAGTCTCCGGCCCCCAAGTTGTTAAAAGAACATGCAGCGCACCACCTGTTAAATCAGTCAGCTCCTGCCTCTTAGCGTTTTTGTTCTGCGGTGGACCCCTTCAGCTCGGGTGCGGGATGTCGGGGCGGAGTGCCCGCGGGCGAGCCACGCACAGCGCCCCCGCCAGGCGCGGCCGGTCCTGCAGCAACGGGCGGGCGCCGCCCTGGCCTCCCCTCAGAGCTGCGGCGCAGGGCGCAGGTGATGCAGAGCCGCTGCCTTTCCCCCACGGAGAAGGAGTTCTTGCCGTCTGCCATGGCTTCGGCCTGCAGCCTTTGGGGCAACTTTGAGATCTGTCACACTGGGGCAGAGGAGAGGCAGGTCGTGTGGGCTGGTGGGCGCTGTGGGGGGGAGGCCGCAGCTGACCCCCGTAAGGCTCCTGTCCCCTTCCGTCCCTCCCCTCCGTCCCCTCTGAGCTCCGCGCAGCCCCTCTTTCCTGGCCTGTGCCCGCCCACGTCTGGCGCCAGCTTCAGCCCCTGCTGGGCCAGCCCGGCTGGAGCTGCCCCTGCCCACGGACAAGGCCTTGCCGCGCCCCCTGCAGCCCCGATGGCCTTCAGAAAGTGTCTCTGTGGTCACAGGCTGGCTGCGTTGCTCTCCCACTAAATGCAAAGGAGGACGAAGACCCTGCCTGCCTGGCCTCTGCCGTGTCCCCAAGCCCAGTGTGTGCCTGGCACACTGTTGGTGGCTGGGGGCCCTCAGCCTGTCCCCAGGAATCTCGGGCCAGGCCACGCCTTCCCCAGGAGATGGCTCCGCCCATGGCCCAGGGCGGCCCCATCGCGTTCTGGGTGGGAGGTGCTGGCTCAGGCCGCGCATCGGGCTCCTGGCCATCTTGCGCAGAGACGTCCTCGCCAAGGCCGCCCAGATCTGCTCGTCCATGCGGCAGCCGAAAGGATCCAGGTTTAGCCGGCACAGGAGAGAAAGGCGGCATCCAGTGACCACTGTGGCCGCCGCACGGCCTGCCCTGGACACAGCAAATAGCCAAGGACGGTAAGACCTGGACACTGGGTGTACAGAAGCCCGTGGAACTTCCGTGCATGGACGTCTCTTGTGCCGGTCAGTACCTGCTCCTTAAGCAGGCAGCGCCCCTGGATTTTGTTTGGGGCCACCTGTCCCCCAGCCCCCAGGCCCGCGCAGTGCAGGCGGGGGCCTCTCACCAACCCCAGGCGTGGGTGGAGCAAGTGACTCAGGTGTAAGCAGGTCAGCACACGGCACCCCCTGGCCACAGGGGTCTGTCGGGGGTGGCAGGTCACCACGCAGAGGGTGTCTCGGCACTTTTGACACAATCACGGGAAAGCGGTGGGCTCTTCCTCTGACTGAACAGAAGCGGCTGCAGCCACCCTGCCCCAGGCAGGGCACACGGGCCCCCCAGTCCCCCTCTGTCAGGGCCTTGGTGTCCCACACAGCCAACGCACGACGGTGGAGCAGGAGCTCTCGACGGCTGAGGTTGAGTCCCGAGCTGCCTTCGGGGGACAAGGAAAGTGTGGACTGGAGCCCGGGAGAGCCCCGTGAGTCTGTGGCTCACGGAGCAGCCACCAGGGCCACTCCTCGCGTGTGTCCCCACCAGAATGTGCACCCCGGGAAGAAGCCCTTGCTAACGTCCAGCCTCAATTGTCCCCTGCAGATGGAGAGACGAGACTAAACCGCCCCAGACAGGAAAGCGTCTGTTCACCACGGCACACAGGCTGAATTGAACAGTGAATGGAAATCTCAAACGAAAGCTGTGCTTTGCTTTCCTTTGGACGCGAGAGTTCCCAGAGAGGCCTTGTGTTTCTCAGCGTCTCCTTCAATCTTCAAGGGCAGCTCAGCAACGGGCCTGCCTGGCAGCCCAGCCTGATACCCGGTCCTCACCCCAGGGCTGGCCTCTGGCCCAGCCCTCCCCTGATGCTTCCCAAGAACAGGACCGGCTCTTGCGGGATGAGGGACAGCTTGGACCGCAGGCTCCCCCAGGCTGATGCTGCAAATGTCCACGCTGTCGATGAGAATCCGGCCAGCCGCAAGCTCCGCCAGCCGGAGGAGAGCGACCTCCGGGAAGGACTTCCCTGTAGGGCGAGAAGCAGGCGGGCATCGGTTTCCTGAGTCTGTGCAGGGGGGCCAGGATGTGTACAGGGGTCCCGCTCCCCTCCCTGGCCCATCCTCGGCCAGCAGGGGCGCAGAGAGGGCAGGAGGGGGCGGGTGTCTCTGCCGGAAGGGACGCCTGAACAAGCAGCTCCCTTACCACTGAGATGGGGGCGAGGGCCCCCGAGGAGCCCACATATTAGATCCAGCCGTGTGCGTGTTTTGTTTCACATACAGTGTTACTGTTATTTTAAAAGTTCTTTGCCAAAATTTTAAACAGCCAAAGATCCTGTACATAAAACCAGGTTGCAGGCTTCTACCCACGTCCCCAGAGCGGCCGGTGGCCAGAGCTGCTTCCCTGAGAGAGGCCCACGCTCGCCAGCTCAGCACGCGGCCCTCCCCGCCCCCTGTCCCCAGCCCCAGCCCTGTGCTGCTCGTCGATGGCACTTGTCAGACCCCAAAGCACTTGAGTGGTCAACCTCTGCTCAAAAAGACAAGGTCAGAGTTTGCTCTTGTTCACCCTGATGTTGCTATTGCCACGCTCACTGACTCTCGGTTAATGCCCACAGACGGAACACAGCCCTCTGGCCCAGGGTCAGCTGAGAGCTTCAATTCAGAGCTCAGGCCGCCCAGGACAACCACCAGCGAGTGCGCTGCAGAGTCCAGCCCGAAGCCCTTCTCCTGGCGGCGGTGTGAGCACTACAGGGGCCCGAGGAGGGGCAGACCTGTGAAGGCCCTGCTCACCCCAGGGGACTTCCTGGAGGAGGCGGCTCCGAGGTGCACAAAGGCAGGGCAAGAACCGAGTCTGAGCGACGTCTTTGAACAAGTGGAGATTAGGAGGGCATGACCTTGGACCAGATCTCCCAGACGTGACAGGAGGGAAGGAAAGAAGTCAGAAAGAGGAGAGAAGGGGGCTGCTGAATGTCCAGGAAGGTGGGGTGGCAGGGGGAGGAAAAGGGGACCCAGATTTCACTCCTTGCCCTGCCCCGCCCCTGCACCCTGGTCTTCCTTCCTGTCTCAGCTCTAGCGCCGGCCTCAGGGCCCGGGCCACCGCGGCTTCGGGACCACCAACCTGTCACTCGGTTCCACGCCATCCCTGCCGCTTCCTCCAGGCACTCAGTGCGCCCGTCGGTGTCTTATTTATTTCCTTATCTGATGACTCGTCAACACCCGTCTCCTCCACTGCCATCCCATGACAGCAGGGACTTGGGGTGTTATTTGCCAGCATCTGGGACAGGGCCCAGCACAAAGCGAGGGTCAGCAAACATCTGTGGGGTCCCTGAGCAAGCCCTTGCCTGAAAATAGGCCCGACCCCCCCAGGCCAAAGTTGAGGGCAGGGCGCGCGGGACGCCCCGCTCCCCGGAGCCGGTCCTGCCCACGGCGCCCCCCATTTCCTGGCTGTGAGTCCTCAGGTTGATGCCTTTGAGGACGATGGGCGTGTTGTCCTGGTATTTCATCTGATAGTCCTGGAAGACGATTGGCCCGTGCTGCGGCCACCCCCGGGAACGGCTCGTGCCTTCCGCATGTAAAGGAGCCTGGGGGACACACGTCTCATTTTTGAAGAAAGAAAAAGAAATCAATAGTTACCGTCCACCTCTGCCCACTCGCTGCCGACCCACCAGCTCCAGCCGTTGGGTGTGCGGGCCACCCCAGGCTGCCCTGCGTCGTGGTCCAGCCGCTGGTGGGCGGCCACAGAACTGCCCCAAGAGGAACATGCCTGCCCCCACTCACCTGAAAGGCACATTGTTTTATCCCAAAAGAGCAAGAAACCACATAACCAGCCCCCTCGGGATTGACACGCAGAGCTCTTCCTAATGTACTGAGGTTCGAAAGAATGGGGATCCGAGTGATAGGAAGGAGCACACGCCCCCTACGGGCGTGGTGTGCAGCTCAGAGCCCGGGCAGACGCGCCCTCCCCGTCTCGTCCTGGGGGGCAGGCCTGTCCCCACGTGCCTCATGAGCGTGGAGGCAGAGGCCCAGGCCATGCAAACGGCGAGCTTGAGGCCGCACAGCTGGGGAGCGGACAGCCAGGGCTCCGGCCGGCGGCTGCGGGGGACTCCAAGCCCACAGCTCCGCATCAGGCCCGGCTGGGAGGAAACAACCGAGGAGAAGCAGCAGCCGGGCACCGACCGCAAGTCACAGCTCGCCCCTGTTGGCCCGGTATCACTGCAGCCCAGCCCCGGGCCGAGGCTACCACTTCCGCTCATGGGAAAAGGACCAGGGCCCGGCGGCGGAGGGCCTGCCAGCGATCTTGGGCCAGATGGTCAGCGTGGCCAAGCCTCAGTTTCCCCTTCTGGACAATGAGGGTACCAATCCAATCGACCTCATAAAAGGGCTTTTGCTGACTGAGGCTTCCCTGCGGGCCAGGCACCACTCGGTGCTTCAGACGCTGCGCCATTTAACGTTTGTAACAATCCAGTGCAGGAGCCGCTGCGGTCTCTCCCGATGCAGAGATGGGGACAGAGGGCCTGAACCAGGTCCCCCGGGCTGCACAGTGGCCCCGAAAGCTCTGTGCTTCACGACCATGGCATAAATAGAAGCTATAGCAATAACAATTATTATTGTCATTAGTAGTGTTATTGTTGTTAGACTTGGGCAACCCTCTCATTTCTCAAAAGGGGAGCTCATTCCTTCTACGCCCAGGAATGCTGGCAATGCAGACAGACTGGCACGGGCGAGCCCCAGAAAGGAAGCTCTGCCAGGGAGACGGGGAGGAAGCGCCCGGAGCCCGGGTGACCCCCTAGTGCAGCCCCGTCCCAGGCGGTTCATGGCCTGGAGGTTGGTCGCCAGCTGGAAGGGAGGAGGCGCATCAGCCTGCGCGGCTGCTGGGGGTGTGCCCAGGCTCCGGCGTGCCCGAGACCCGGTCGCTGCCACGGCCCCAGGCGTGGAGTGGGTGCCCTGGTGGCCGCTGGGCCCACTCCCGGGTCGAGGCGCAGCTGTGGTGGGCAGTTCCAGGCGAGAATCCCACGGACCCCGTGTCCCAGTCAGTGCCACCGCAGTGCCCAGAGGCCCACAAAGCGCAGAGTGCAGGCTCCGGGGCGTGGCTCTCGCCGATGCGGGGAGGAGATGGGGGATGAGCCCCCCATTGCTCAGCCTTCAGGGACAACCCAGGGAGCATCCTATACGCCGCTCAGGAGGTCCCAATCGGTCCTGCGCTGGCGACCCAGGCCCGTGACCTCAGAGACACACGCTTGTGATGGAGCGCCCCCGTCCCTGTCCCCCAAGGCCTGTTTTCCAGAAGCATTGCCCAAACAATCCGCCTGCACCCACGTCCTCGGCATCGGGCTCTCCCTTCAGGGGAGCCCAGGCTAAGAGGAGTCCCAGGGACTTCTGGGAACAGGTGGCACCACAGATAAGGACATGGAAGCCCAGAAAGGGGACGGGACCCTCGCAGGCTCCCTGGGAGCTGGAGGCGGAGCTGGGAGGGGGCCTCGCCTCTACTCCAGACCTGGGCAGACAGGCCGCGCTGACGGCTGGGTGACACCATCCCGGTGCAGTCAGTCACCAAGGCCCGCCCGCCAGGAGCACCCGGTCTGACCGGGAGAAAGAGCCGACAGAGAACAGCCGCTCGGATGGGTGCGGTCCACAATGTGCTCAACGTGGAGAGCCAGCGGGGCCACCCACAGGCTGGTCACCCGGGCTGGGGTCACGGCGGGGGGGACTCCTGGAGGAGCTAGCACTAGAGACGCATTTTTAAGGAGAGGTGGGAAGGGGACGGGGAAGGGTGCTGCAAATAGAAGGCAAAGTCCCCAAGTCATCAAACACTAGGACACGCCCAAGGACTGGAAGCGCAGGACGCAGGACCGGGAGGGAAAGCCGCAGGTAGGTGAGAGAAGCGCCCCTCGCAGCGCAGCACTGGGCCCCAAAAGGAAGCTGGGGGGCGGGGCAGGGGCGGGACGGGGGCGGGGACTGTCCTCCGTTCAAGCAGCACATGAGAGGTGCTGCTTGCCTCATCAACAGCTGGCCCCTTCTGTCTTCCACTACATTCAGGTCGGCAGTGGCCGGGTGCCCCAGGGAGGCCTGGCTGGTTCCGACCAGCGACGTTAATCCTACTCGTCCGTGTGCCCATAAAGCCAGAGGAAGAGCCCGATAGGAGTGCTCTGCAAAACTGTTCCTTGTTCTTAAAAGGGGACCCAGGGGCGAAGTTCTCTCCTCTCCAGCCTTGGACAGTTGTTGGATAAGGATGTGTAGCTTGGGGCTGCAGCAGCTGTTTTGTGAGCTTGAGGAGACAACCCCAAGAACAAAGGCAGGCTGTGGATGCCAGAACAGCATGGAGGTAAAAGGGTCATGGGCTCCCGCTAGGCCACTAAATTAGCCAGCAGAGCGCAGCCCTGCCCCGGCCTTCCAGTTGCGTCAGGGGAGTCCCCGGCCGGCTGTTGGGGTCCCCAGGCCAGATTCGAGGGGCCTGGACGGCAGGGCCCAGAGCTCAGACTCGGAGCAGAAGGAGGCAGGGAGGCCCTGGGGGTCCCGAAAGAGGCAGTGATGTCAGGACCAGTGAAACGGGAGATCGCCCCGGGGGAGGAGGCAGAAGGCGAGAGAGGAGGGTTTTGGGGGCAGGGGGCAAGCGGGCAGGCAGGGGGGCTGTTCCCCAGGACACAGATGGGACAGGGCAGCCGACCTTGAGGACAGAGGGTGCACCTGGGGCTGCTGTGCAGCGAGGCCCCTCGCTCATTCCCGCGGTGGCGAGCCAGGAGCCCTGGGAGCAGGTGCGGGGGAGGCACGCCTCTGCCCATGCCCCTCCCAACCCCCCAGCGCCGGCTGGGCAGCCTGCACCTGGTGCTCCCTGCAGCCAGGGGCAGTCTGGGGCCTTAGTGACCCCAAGTCCCCCGGGACACCAGTGCGGGCCCCTCTGCCCTGCGTCCCGGAGGCTTGGAAGCAATTCCGCACCCGGGTGTGTGCATGTGTGGGTCAGAGACAGGGGGAGAGACGGACAAACCTGCTGTTTGCCGGCTGTGGGGACGTGGGCTCTCGCCGTGGCCATCCTCTCTGAAAGCTGGGGGGGGGGGGGTGCAGCTCACAGCCGTCGGGGGTTTTCGGGGCTTTCACCTGCTCCGGCCCTCACACACGCCTCACAAGGCCAGGGGTCATCACGCCCCTTTCACGGATGACAAGTCCTAGGCACAAGGATAAATGGACTTCCCCAAAGTCACACTGCTCACGGGGCCAGAGCCCAGGGCGACCCTTGCTCCCCGAACCACACGTTCTTAACCACACTGCTGTGTGCCTGAGTGAGTGGTGAGGACGCCGTGGAGCCAAGTCCGGCAGGCACCTGGCCCAGCGCCGGCTCGGCCCAGCGCACAGTAAATCCCGCTGCGGCCACAGTAAATCCAGCGCACAGTAAATCCCGGGAGCTCCGCACGGCCGCCCACGTGGCCTGTGCGCCTGGGAAGGGTCTGCACACACAGGCGCGATGGGAGCGGGGGGCGCGTGCAGACGTGCGCCTGTAGTGGGGCTCACCAGGGAGCAAGACGGAGCGCTTTGCTCACCCAAAAGAAGGCGTCAGCATCGGGGCAGCCAGCCCTAAAGCCAGTTAGAGGGGATGCCACACAGGACAGAGGGCGGTTAATGAACACCCCTGGCGGGCGGGGGGAGGGCGGGGGGACCCCTGCAGCCTGGGCTCCTGGAGGCGGCAGGTGAGCCGGCCTCTAGCCCCACAGCCCTCAAGGACGGTCCTTCCGCAGGAGTCCATGGATGTGAACCCCAACCAGCCCGCCCCTCCCACCCCCAGAGCCCCAGGAAGTCCTCAGGCCTCCACGAGAGACCTCCCCTGACAACCTGTCTTTAAAATCAGATTCCCAGGCCCTGCCTGGCCAGGACCTGACTCCGTGCCGAGCAAACCCGCAAGGACTGGGACCCTCCTGGTCTCACAGGCCCCCCGCTCCCCACCCCCACTAACTCAGACGCGTTTGCCGCCTGGGGCAGGCTGTGAGCAGCGCCAGGCAGCCGGGGGGGCGGCGTTCTTGCCCTGGCTCTGCTTCTAACACTCCATCCGTTCCAACAATCCTTTTCCCCTCCCGGCCTCAGTTTCCCCATCTGCACAATAGAGGGTTGGACTCCTCTTCAATGCCAATATTCCATGATTCCATGTAATATCTTTAAATACAGGATTCCCAGTTCAGAGGTGACAAGGAAACAGAGTGACAGATTCAGGAGGCCAAGCTCATGGCCCACAAGATTGCAAGTGGCCCAAGCCCAAGGCGCGGCCACAGTCCCATGGTCCCCTGGGCCACAGACTTAGCCCCGTCTTTCACCTGCAGGATGAGGCTGATCAACGTGGCTTTACAGGAATAGCAAGTAGAGGGAGAGCCGAAGGCCACGAACAAGGCCACGAACAAGGCCACGGCCAAGGTCACCAGGTTGATCATGAGCTCCATCCTCAACAACATCCATCGTGTGGAAGAGAGAAACGTCAGCAGGTAGTCATTCTGTATGTCGACAAGCCTTTTAAACCTGTGAA